TAAACAGCATGCTTAAAAATTAAAATTATTCTAATTTCCAATCACACGAGGATCTCACGGTGAAAAGTGAGTTTATTCTTACAGAATACTACGGCAGAGACTGAAACTGAGTCAATAAACCTTGTGAATTTGGATTGCCTGAGCAACTTAAATATCGTATAAATAAATGTATAGTAAGAACAGTGATAAACACTTAACGCACCACACAAAAATATTGATTGATATTGTACACAAACACATCTATCCTATAAGCTGCGCACATTGGTATAAAACATATATATGTATATCATTATTGACTCTTTAATGTAGATTCCAAAATATTTATTTGAATGAAATTATAACAATCAGAACTGTTAAGCTTTCATATCTTAACAAATTATAAAGATAACACGGACAATTATTTTTGCAAAATATAAATATTGTTTTTTACTAGTAAATTTTCTCAGGTAACTCAAAATTCACGGTATACCTAAATAAATGAAATATAACTGGGAGAACACCGGTTCTTCTCAGTACAAGGTCTGCCGCCGTAGATTTGCAAACCTTGGACTTGGACTTTCACATTAAGGTATCTCATATATTTGCTCGTGAAAGCCTAAACTGAATAAATGAATTTGAGAGTTAAGGATTATGTAATTAATACAGTATTGCACGATGGGGCTTAAAATCAAACATTGCACAACTTCACAATGTAGTACGTAAGTTTTCCCCAGTATGCTGCTAACCCCGGTTCAGGGGTGGTGTTTAAAGGTTGGGCGACCCCACCAGGCTTGCACGTGGTCAGAAGCGGTGCTGGTACTCGCTGCAGCTGGTTCTGAGTTTAATGATTACCTATGTAAAAAAATTGCGTTCTGCGCTAAAGCTTATAATCAAACATTGCACTTCACAATGTAGGACGTGAGTTCTCCACCTGTGTGCTGCTCAGCCCGGTTCAGGGGGAGAAGCCACAGGTTGGGCGGCCCCACCAGGCTTGCACGGTGGCAGGGGCGGCGCAGGTTCTCCCTGCAGCTGGTTGAGGGCGCAGCGCACAGCTGACAGCATCTCAGGGGTGGACTTGCGGCCGCGAGGGGCGTGCGGCCTGTAAGGTCTACGGATGCGCTCCGCTGTCGCTGTCGATTCTGAAACAAGTATGGAATACTTTTTAAGAAAGAAAGAAAGAAAAATATTTATTGGTTACACAGCATACATTAAAAACAAAACGGAATGAAAATGAAAAAATGAAAAAAATCTTTAATGCTTAAAAGTTCCATATAAACATGTTGTTGAGTATTCCCTTTTAAGTATTATACTTGTATTAGGGGATACTCGCTCTTTCGTCAATTTTTACATTGAACTTTACTATAACAATTATTGACATTAAAATTATTTCCGAAAGAAAATTAGACAAGTTCTAATTGATCCCGCCCCCGTAGCATGAGTACCACAATTCACATTGTATCACGTGTCATATCGCGTCCAGCTGTCAAACTCCAAAGAATTTGACACCAGAGCGCGACAAAACACGCGTCACATATTATATCGCGGTCCTCATGCAAGGCATCATACATTAACTATTTAAAGTATTAAACCATAAAACTATTTAAAGGACTTAATTTCTTTACATGGAATAGTAAAAACATAACGTAAAATAAAAATAAAAACAAGAACACTAATTTAAGGTAGTGCTGTGTTTAGACGCGGAGAATCCCTAAACGGGGATCCCGCGGCTTCGCGCTAAGCAGCTTAGAGGGTATTCGCAGGACTTTTTTAGCGGATATTATACCGTAAAGCTCTCGTAAGAGTTGCGGTGTCCTCAGTGGGCAGCCACTGTGGGCTTCGTAAGACTTGCGGGGGCCAGGTGTGAGGTCCGTTCGGCGGTGTGCCTCTTAAAGGCGCCGTCGTCTGTAAATAGATTTTTTACCTGCGTATTAAAAAAAAAAAAAAGGTAGTGCTGTGCAGGGCCAACAGGTCACTGTCTCAGCTATGCTACTGTTGTAACACTTTCGCAATACCACAGCAGCGCTGACTTTCAGCCAGCGCTTGAAGCGCCTTTTAGTTATAATGGAATGCGCAGACGAGGGACGCCAGGCCGTGGCGAACAAAAGTCCTTCAATCGTGGAAAAACTGTCCGAGAACTTGTCAAGGATTCAACGCACGCGGTGTGCGAACATTTTGCTATCCGAAAATTAAGAAAACGCACGCTATGGAAAAATATTCTCTGATTACGTTGTAGTAGTTGTAATGGACATGAAGTTAATGAGATAGAGAAGGCGTTTTAAATGAGAATACTGGGTCCATCTTTTTAAATCGGATCGAACACGCGACGAGAACTAAAGGTCGCTGTATGCGTTGATTTTCTGCGCCTAGTCACTTCTGTCAAGTTAGGTCTCCCAGTGTCCTCGGTTGTTCGGGGAACTTTTTATACGCGGTATACATTCGTAGGCGATCTAGGTATTTGGTGAACAAAAAAGTACGCGGACTCAGCGCCTGGTAGCGGCTGTGGGGCAGTGGTTAGCCGATTGGTGCGTTGACAAGAGAAGCCCAGGATCGTGTCGGAGGGCGTGGAGTTGGCTGCCGAACGATTGCGGGGCCTGCCCGGGTTATTTGCTTTATTTGTTGTTGAGGAAGTCCTAAATCGTCGGAACCTCATTTTTTATGTATGTTCGCTGATTAATATTTGAAGAGTTCCCTCGATTTCTCATGGATCCCATCATCAGATCTAGACTTGATCCTTTAGATATCTAAACCTTGTAAATTTGATATTGTTGATAGCGACTCGTCCATTTACTCTCAGAAAGCGCTTTCATTTTTATTTTTCTTAGTTTTTTGAGGTTTTCTTTTAAGAAGTGGATTTAATTCTTTACACAAAAAAGTTACAATGCTTCGGGCTTTGTATTTGAAAATAGCTTACGGTTGACTCTAGGCCGGTCGTGGTCGGTCGTGTCGTCCAAGCGTTCGCAGCAGCTACAGAAGTAGCAAGGTACTCCGGGAAGACCGCAGCAAAACGCACCCCACAGCCATTTATTGAGGGTACAAGCCACGCGGGACCACGCACTCGGCTGGTCATCCTCGCGGTTGTAAACGAAATCGCGATTCATCACACAATATGCACACAATCACCTGCAGTAGTTCTTCATCGCCATAATAATCATTATTTGTGGTGGCCGAGCTGTCACACACGCTCGATCGGTTGACGAACGTCAAATGTTTTTTTTTGTTTCGCGGCCAGTAACAATGTGGGAAAATTCAAGGAAGGTTATGTTGGGTTCTAAATAGCTTCAGGGCTTCAGGATGCCTTCAGATTAATATTACCTTAAATATATCTACTTATTTTTATTGTTCGATGGTTTGTCATTGCCAAATAAATATCTATTACGATTTTATAGGAAAATAACAGGAAAATATAAATATCTATTTATTTTTATTGTTAGATTGATTTTTCATTTGCAAATCAATGTCTACTTACAATTTTGTAGGACAATAACAGGTATATATGTGTATATATTTTAAAATTACAAATGTAAATTATGGGTGCTTTGTTTGACCAATTAAAAAAAGTCAAGTTTTCTTGTCTTTCTTAGAGACGAGACGAAACAAAGCGGCGAAAGTTCGAAAGAAATTCCTAATTTCAAGTACGTTAATATTTGTATTGGGGGTCCTAAAAAAAATATAGTTAAACAACTAAAAACACGCTTTTATTTACTGCACTAAAATGCCAAAATATTATACTCTCTGTTTATTTCATTAGGGCTTTAGAGTAAGCCATGTTGTATATTATATGATATAGATAGGTATTGTATATATTTTGGCTTGTTAGTGCAGTAAATAAAAGTAAGTTTTTAATTTTTTAACTATACATATATTTTTTTAACGTGAAGACAGTATATCTTAAGACGCATCTAATGAGTCCAAGTTCGATATTTTTACTAGTAGGTAGTCGAAATTTCCACCAGCCACCTTCCAGTCCCATCATCATACCAGCTCGATGGTACTTTAACATTGTATTGTCATTTAATCTGTATACAATTGCCAAGTCTTATTATGTTAAGACGAATCTCATTAAAATAAACTTTCTCATTAAAATAAACTTGATTTGTTTACTAGTAGGCAGTCCAGGGTCCATCAGCCACCTTCCCGTCTGTAAAAAGATTTTTAACCTGCGTTATAAAAAAAAAATGGTCCTCGTTATCAGGAAAAATTAACAGAATATATTAAGACGACTCTAATGAGTCCAAGGTTCCATCAGCCACCTTCCAGTCCCCTCATCAGACCAGCTCGATGGTACCATAATATTTGATTGTCATATAATCTACATATATATATCATAACTGCTACGTTACATGATGTTACAAGAATTAGAAGTGCGTGTAATTCAGATTCTTAGATTTCATTACATAGTTCGTTACAAGTCGACCTAATAAAAAGCGTGTTAAAATGTGTTGAATTAATGAAAGAAAACATCAGATGCATCAGCTTTTAGCATCTTGTGCACTGTTGATTATCCTTACAATTTGTAATTTAATTGCTGAAGGCTGCATCCAAGTGTCCACGATATCAGGAAGTGCGTGACTTAACATCCGTTTAACAAAGTTATTTATTGCAATATCATCGCTAAAATACTGCGAAGTTAAATAGAAAATAGACAACAGAAAATTAATCGGACAGGCGGCAATTATGCCCTCGAAGGCTGTTAATAACTGCTTGGGCACGACAATGTCTTAACAACGGATAAACTTCTGACTTCCACTCAATAACCTGAACAATGCCGTGTCTAACTTGTCATTACGTCATGCGTCTCGATTACACAGAGCCTTGGAGGCATCTCACGAAGAGTAATCACAGCTATCCGTAAGCTGTAAACGGGCCTACGGAAAAAAAAATTGGTTCCTTCCCGCGGCCAAGCATTGATAGCTCGCGGCTTTAGCAGTTAGCACGCTGGACTCGTTTAATTTTCAAAACTTTTAAAAACTTTTTGGGACGCTCTATTTTCGAAATTTTTTTTTCTCAAAATAGTTTTTGCGATGCATTTGAGGTTACAAGTGTTTTTCGGCCAGTTGCTATGGTTGGTGGCTCTACTGAACGGGAAAACCTTTGAAGGTATTCCAGGTTTTGGGAGAAATCTGCTCATTAAGGCGCTACCCGCTATAGATGATTACCAGAGCAATATTTACGAAGTCATTATGGAGCCATATTTATATGTGAGTACATGATGTGTATTTAAGACTTGGACGGCATTATAGTGTATTATATTGCGTAGCTGCAACGCGGTACTGTGGATTTGACATAAGTGATCGTCATCTAGGTTCCGGGTTCGATTCCCAATCAAATTTGCTTGGTTCACACAACAATACATTAAATAAATAAAAAACCGGCCATGTGCGTGTCGTGCCACGCGCAGTGTAGGTAAATAAGGTAAACAATCGTTTTCTACTCATTTCATTAACTTATAGCATGGTTGCTATATGGTTAAAAAAAACATTTCCGATTTTTTGATAATATTTTCAACCTGAGCCTTGAGTTTTTGTGGTAAGACAAAAAATATCCTCTTTATTTATATTTTTTTATATAAATTACATTCTTTTGTATTTATTTATTTTTTACAAAATATATTTTCTTTTTATTTAGCAACGTTAATAGGCTATTTGACGGTACGAAAAATAAAGTACCTACCAATTATTGACATGTCTATTTAGAGCGAAACATTGGTATTGGGAGCAATTTCACTATTCTGAAAAAAAGTACTAAAAAACAAAAAAAATCATGTATCGACACGTGCCCGAAAACGCGAAAGATTGGAGAAGGTCAAAATGACGTCACCTGCTTGTACACATGCTATTTTGTATTGTTTGACGTTTTAATGACAGTTGTGTGACTTCACATGCCTGTGCTGCGCGGCATATTTGAAAACAGAATTTTTATTTTGGTTTTTTTTGTACCGCAACATATTCATAAATATCCACTTTTACTGGAGTCACTATACACTAAAGTTGCAGCACACTGTTTTGGCCGATTTGACGCATTGCAATAGTGACGAGCAAAGTCAATTTGTTATCGAAAAAAAACAAATAAAATCAAATGCGAGTCACATCTAGGTATTCAAAATTCTATAAGAAGATATTATAAGAAGTTGCTGATTAGAAAGATTTAATAAAAGGAAAACATAAATATTACTCACGCTCAGGAGATCCCTATCGATTCCGTTTTTTACATTTTGAATTTTTAAAAACACTAATTCCTATTAAGGTATGTGGCGAATAAGTACACTATAATTTATATTATTATTTCTACGATATAACATTCCTTAATAATAATAACAATAAAACAACCTATTAACATAATTTACATATTCTGATAAATGGCCGGTATTTTTATGTGAAAAAATATTATATTAGAAATAAAAAGCATTTTATGGATGTTAGTGTCTCCGGCAGACTTCAAATTTTTATGAGATGTAGTCAACGATATTAAATACCCTAGATACACCACGAGCGCTCAAAATGTGTCCCAATCAAGAAGTGCTTGAACTCCACTCAAGCACTTCTTGGTTTACAGTCACGCGCGGACCGTTACAAAGTCAAGATGCCACAGAGCTCCGCGAAAAAATGCTAAAATAATACTTAGAGTACGAAAAGTGCCGTTTTTTCGACAGGTATCTAGTCAAAGTTTGTTAATTTAACGCATTTTATGCAAATTTTGATCTAATACTTACTATACTTGTATACTGATTAAATATAAAATATTTGTGATATTCAAATGCATGGTCGGTTATACGTCATCATATAGCCGTCTCTTTTCTTCGCGGTCCGTACCTGCTATATTGCTAGAGTCAAAGAACTAAGGTAAATTCTTCCGCATATAGCAATAAGTCATAAACTTTTACGATCTTGCATTTTGAACTGTCAGAAGTCCTTGACGCATGCGTTTTATTTAAGATCTCATACAGTATGTATTAAAGGTTAATTTCAATATTTAAATAAGGCCTTATATTGATTTTGACTACGGGATCATCTTACGGAGCTCCGAGGATCGTTCAATGTACCTTTTGGACAGGTTTCGGGCACGATTTTGTTCGTGTTGCTGTATCTAGGGTATTTAATATCATTGGATGTAGCGCACTCAATTGTAAATCGTAAAAAACTAGAATTTATTTTATAATTCTTAAAATATACAATTATAATTATTTATTGGAAAATGGCAAGTTTATTTATATTTTTTTAGTCAAAGCAAATTTTATTCATCATCAATAGGTTACTAAAGCACTAATCATTCTGTACATCTTTCATTACATTACTAGGTATATTGTATATATTTAATTTCAAAGAAAATCAATCATAAATTTTTCAAATAACTTCACCACGATTTCAAGAGTATCATGCATGACTGACTGATTGACATTTGCCAAAGTGATTGAGTTGACATTATAAGCTGCCAGGCTCATAGAGGTATAAGAATATATACAGGTTGTAAAAAAACCCTTTAACGAAGTCGAAGGCCACGTATTTTCCACATCATGACGATATTTTTTTTTCTTCTGGACCATACCTGGGAAAATGGTTATGGACATATTGAAGGTCAAAGTCATTTTTTTTCCAAATCTTTACAAAAACGCTATTTAGAAACTTTTTTATCGACGCACTTATACACACAGGCACATTGTTTGCGTAGCGCCACAGTAGCGCGCCGCTATACATTGCGTACTGGACATTTTTTGTATTTTTTAACTTAAAAATACAAATGTATACTATTCCCTCCCACGTATAATATTTTGTAATATTACTTGTTTGGGTGTACATAATGCGTATTTTTAGTCTGCCAGACATGTTGAGAACTGCCTCCATCTGTCGGTCGAAAATAACGACTTCAATATGTTTTCTTTTCATCCAAGTGGTCAATTATGAAATTTTTATACTAAATCTATATAATGTAAAAATTAATTGTCGAAAAGTATATATGTGCAATTGCATCACTTCCGAACGATGGAAAAAAATGATAATTCTTTTTTTAACGTGTTCGTTATTATCGGGACAAGGTTTGTAAAAAAAACAATAATAAATACATACAGAACTATTTTAAAATCACTTTTAATGAAAAATCACTGGCTATCTAAAAATCCATACAAAATTTCTTTTAAATCTTATAATAAGTATGAAAAAAGGCTGACCGTCAAGACGGTATACGGTGTCAAATACAATTACCGCTTCTTTTGCAACAGCAAAACGGTATCATAAGTATTACACGTGTTTTAGATTTGCGTTTAGAGATTTTTCGTCCTGTTTTTCATAGTAATTTGATAAGAAAATGCCACCAGTGAGGCGTCAAAATATCGGTCGGCAGTCAACAGTGTATAATAAATAATATGCGCCAAATTCATTTAGCATATTCAGTAGGGCTGAGAATCGGACAACATCTATTTTTCATCCCCCTAAATGTTACGGTTTGTAACCCTTATTTTTTTTTTATGACAAATTATTTTGTTTTTATTTTTTTATGATCCATCATACAAAAATACATAGAATCCTAAATTTTCACCCTTCCACCACCAACCCCTATTTGTTATGGCGGTTTGAAGTTCGCTGGCTCAGCTAGTATACCTATAAAATTCTCGTGTCACAATGTTAGTTACCATACTCCTCCGAAACGGCTTGACCGATTTTTATTGAAATTTTATATGCATATTCAGTAGGTCTGATATTCGGCTACTATTTATCGTTTGTCCACCCCTAAAATTTATTTTTGAATTTTTGGTAATTTTTTTTATAATGACTGTAACTTTAAAAAATACCTACAACCCTAAATTTTCACCCTTCTACCGCTAGCCCCTAATTTTATGGTGGTACGAAGTTCGCTGGGTCAGCTAGTAAGTACCTTTATAAGCATTAAAATATAATTTGTATCTTAATAATATGCAGATGTCTGTAGGTGTACTCGTACATGCGAAATGAAGTTGCCAAATCAAAATCAAATTAGCAACTGTATATTTCGTTCGGGCAGTTTATTGAACTTGCGATTTTTGTCTCTTGTATTTGTTAGGAATAGTGACCAATTAGTTTTTTCTAGCCACAATCCGGTCCTTGAACCAAGACGACAAACGTGGTTTCCGCTTTCCGCCAATTTCGACGATGGACACGGTGTCTTTGTAAAAAGTAGTTGATGTTAGGCGTCAAAGGCTAAAATTAGGAATTTCATTTTAATTTTGTCTTTTTTTCATTAGACTAACGAAATGTTTTTTGGTTAATATTCGAATATACAGATATATTATATCATATAGGTAATGTTTTATGTACCATTTAAGTAATATTCCTATCATTTAGGTATAATATAACTTAGTTTACTCGCAGAACCTCGCTCAACACAAACAAATAATTCCTATACGTCTTACGTATCCTACTCTTTTTATATACAGTTACAACTATGTATTTTTAATCAAATTTCATAAAATGTTATTGAATCCAAAACTAACTTTTATAAAAATACTAGCTGTGCCCTGCGGTGTTTCCCGCGGTTTATTAGGGATATTTTCCCACAGTAAAACGTAGCCTATGTGTTAATCCAGGGTGTCAGCTAACTCCATACCAAATTTTATTAAAATCGCTCCAGCCGTTTAGACGTGAAGAAGTAACAAACATACACACTCACATACTCACAAACTTTCGCCTTTATAATATTAGTGTGACTAGCTGACCCAGCGAACTTCGTATCGCCATAAAAATATGGGTGGTAGAAGGGTGAAAATTTAGAGCTGTATGTATTTTTAATGCCACATTATAAAAAAAAAAAAAAAATAAACCAGAATCTAAAACAATGTTAGGGGTGGACAACCCTTATCACTTAGGGGTATGAAAAATAGAGTGTAGCCGATTCTTAGACCTAGTGAATATGTATATAAAGTTTCATAAAAATCGGTCAAGCTGTTTCGGAGGAGTATGGTAACTAACATTGTGACACGAGAATTTCGTATAAGATATTTATATAATAACTAGAGGTCGCCCGCGACTTTGTCTGCGTTAACTTAGTTTCTTGAAAATCCCTTTGGAACTTTACATTTTTTCGGGCTAAAAGTAGCCTATGTGTTAATCTAGGGTGTCAGCTAACTCCATACCAAATTTTATTAAAATCGCTCCAGCTGTTTAAACGTGAAGAAGTAACAAACATACACACTCACATACTCACACACTCAAAAACTTTCGTCTTTATAATATTAGTGTGATAATTGTATGTAATTTAAATGGATACGTAGTAGATTGAATATGAAAGAAATATTATATTGCACGCCAGCAGTTTCTCCTAGAACGCAGTCTGTAAAAAAACTTTTCAGGAAACTTGAGCAGGATCATCCATATTTCCAAACCACAAATTCAATTATTCCAAATTCCTTAAAAGTCTATGTACTTATAATTAATGTATTCTACTGGCAGAGGAAAGAGAACTAAAAGAAGATTTATTTGCAGGATCTTGGCCGCCCGTACCCGATAACGGGGAGCCGAGCCGAAAAACAAATAGACTTAGCCATCGTAAGTACAAACTCGATCACTACCAACTAACTATAATAATCAATCACAATTAATCAGCCATTCATCATTTTAAAATAACCGTTACATGTACTTACCTAATCAATAAATTTCCATCCAGTTTGGTTATGTTGTTAAGTACTTACTTGTGCATAATTGGAATTTCTCATTTTATGTTACTATTTTTTTTATGTGCATCCATTTATTTTTCTGTATTACTAACGATAGATCTCCTAAGGTGTATCCTAACACTTTAGTTCTCTTTTCTCTGATTAACTCTCCTCTTGTGCATGCCTAATATTTTCCCGTAATTATTGGGGTTCGGGCATTTTGGTCTACTGAACAATAGACTTGAATCGTATATTGACGGATAGGTCTTTTCTAGAGGGGAAAAAGTTATTATGGAGTCACATTTTGAATTGTTGTCCGATCCGAGATATTGGCTTATAAATATGTGTTTTCGGTACATCGGATAGTACGCAAAAATCAATAAAATACGTATTTTGTTGTGATAACTAAGCTAAAATGAATTATGTGAACTCATCTACATCAGCAAAAACTGCTTAATAATATTTATATAGCTAGGTATGTACCTGGTTTGTATATAGTGCTGTTGGTTCCTCCGTTGACTTATGGGAGTGAAAATTGAGTACCTATAGAATCCATAATCTCTGCCTACCCCTCTGAGAGACAGGCGTGATATACTTACATGTAGTTATGTAAAAAAAGTAGTATAAATAAAAATCTTGTACTTATTTTCCACTTTCGAGCAAAAATAATCAAATCCTAACAGACTGCAGTAAGTCCCAACATAAAAGCTCACGGTCGCCATCTTGATTTCATTGCACATTTTATATAGGTACCTACGCTTTAATACTGGAGAGATCAGAACCTTTCATTTAAGACCTAAATCATTAAAATCAATTCAGCCGTTTGACAAATATATGAAAAATACTTAAATTTCGCTAAAGTAACGTCAGCGACATGTTAGCAGGAAGCTTCGAGGAGATGAAGAGTTAAGAGATAAAATCACACAAAGATTTAATATTCAACGTACGCGTACTCCGATCGGACAACAAATCAGGACAAGCGCCATACCAATTCGTGTTCTATAAAAATATACCTTTCTAACGATATATTATTATGATTTATATCTATTGGGTCCTAGACAAGAGTCCATACATTTGTGCAAATTGTCTTTGGGGAAAATATGATCTAAAATGATAGTAATACGATGTTTGTTTATTTCTATAGCTTTTTCTATACAACATATTTTGCAACTTGCTACAATAGCTTACCTAAGAATCTTGCAATTCTGTGATATTTCAATAGTGTTGTCAGTCAGCAGTACTCGTTGTTGTACTAAAACATAAATAAAGAACGCATATCATCTACAAAATATAAATCTTCAATTTTATTATTCAAGTTCCTGTAAGTACTATTCTATGGTTTACAGCGTTCTTAAAACTATAGAGCTGCGTTTGTCCAAATTTTTTTTTATGCTAAATAGGCAACGCCTTTGACCACAATCTCGCTTGATGGAAAGCGATGATGAGGCCTAGGATGTACACGCCTGCCTAGAAGATGCCTGTTCACTCTGGCCTTGAAGATGTCCAGATTATATTGGTCCGGGAAAACAGACCTCGGCAAGGAGTTCCACTCCCTAGCCGTTCGCATAATGAAGGCCGAAGCAAATCGCTTCGTGCGAATGGGAGGAACTTCGACAACATAAGGGAGGAAGCCCTCGCCGCGCCTGGTCGTCCGGTGGTGGAAAGGGGAAGGGGGGATCAAATTATGTAATACCTCCAACTAAAAATAATGCTGCAAATGTATACTGTAAATTATGTTATAATAATTTAAATATGTAAATTCATAGTAAGGAAAAAGCTATGCCACTAAAACAAATAGAAGCAGAATATCATCTAAAGCAGAGGCACACACAATTTAGAGTATGACCAATATGTAGTCGCAATAGATGAGGATTTTCCTATTTTGCTTATTTTGCTTGGTGTGCTCATTGATACGCAGAAGCCGCAAAAGTGTAACCTATTAAGTTTTTATCATTATTTTTTTTAAGCATGTAACTGCTTGATGTTGAAATCTAAAGAAAATATGACTAGATAAAATCCACGCGGACCAGGCAGCAGACGGGACTCGAACCCGCACCCTTCGCTATCCGGCCAAATGCACTGACCAATTATGCTACCGCTATTATGACATTTGAGAAATAGGTATTTGAAAAACCTCTTGCTGTCGCGCATTGGCAAATACCGCGCAATAGGGCCGACAGCTAAGCAAGGGCAGATCCAGCTTTGGCGCCAGAGGGGTCATATAGTCGTGGTCAAGTCACAGTGGGTACAGATTGTGAAGTGGGTACAGATGGACCCAGCGCAGGGGGGAATCAAGGCCCCCATGAACCCCCCACCCCCTGGATCCGCCGTTGCAGCTAAGGCTGAAAATTGCTAATGAAATTTGCAAAAGTCCAGGTTTGGCTCTCGACAATTTCCTCTTCGAAAATGAGATATATATAAAATAATTTCACCCATACAATACTTAGTAGTTATTCTAGGCCTATTTTTTTGATTCCTATAGAGTCTCCAGACTAGACGTCTTTAATGGTGGTGAAAATTTGTTTATTTTTGTCATTTTAGCGCTTCCAGTCGCTTAGAAACATAAGTTATCGAAATAAAGTCGGTTTTACGGGCGAAGATTTTACGTGACAACGTCTTTTTCTCGGTAGAATATTTATTGATATGAATATAATTAAATTGCACAATAGGAACAAGGAATTGAATGAAAATAAGAATTGCACAAATTTTAACTATAGAAATATATTTTGTTTACTAAAACATTGTACATGTAAACTTAAACTCATCGTAACGTTACCGAGCGTTACACTTTTTCATAAGTGACTCCCAGCCGCAACCTAATTTAAGACGTTGTCACGTCAAAAAGGAAGTCATAGGATAGAACGATGGAAGATAAAGGCATAGAACAAGTAAAATTATATTTTATGTATAAAAATCATTTCTTTAGTGATAAAATTCAAGGAAGAATATGTCGATAACGTTTGTATGGGGAAAAACACTGTCCGCCTTACTAAACACACATTGCGGTTATTTGGCAAACATCACAAATTGGCAAAACCTCCGCAAACGGAGTCAGCAGAACACACAGCGCAGTTGAATTCTTAAATATACAAAAACAATAGTAGGTACCCTAATTGAATAAATCATAATATGTGGCACCTACATAGGGTTACCAACCCTACTACATACTTTAAAAGATTTCTTAAAAATAAAAAGTTGAATTATTAATCTATAGAGCGGCAAAAATATACTCATTTTAAAAATTAAGTAAACATTAAGCCTTAAGCTGCAAGGCAGTGCCTAGCTAGTAAAATATCGACGCGGCCATCAGGGCCGTGGTAGCATAATTGGTCGGTGCATTCGCCCGGATTGCGAAAGGTGCGGGTTCGAGTCCCGGCCGCTGCCTGGTCCGCGTGGATTTTTTTGTAGTAAAACTTTTCTTTAGATTTAAACATCTAGCAGTTAAATGCTTAAAAAAAAAACATAACTATAATTGCTATTTCTTCTTCCTAATGTTTAATATTTGAAAAAGTATTCATTTGACATTGTGGGTTACCTACAATGCGAAGAGTTGGCGCTGCCTTGCAGCTTAAGGCTAGGAAAATTTCGACGCGGCCATCAGGGCCGTGGTAGCATAATTGGTCAGTGCATTCGCCCGGATTGCGAAAGGTGCGGGTTCGAGTCCCGTCCGCTGCCTGTTCCGCGTGGAATTTTTTTTCTAGTAAAACTTCTTTAGATTTAAACATCTAGCAGTTAAATGTTTAAAAAAATTAAAACATAATTTAGTAAACATTTTAACCACATACTATATTTTTTCCATTTTTTTGCATCTATTATATTTTTATAGGTAGCAGCTTCGAAAATACGGTACTATATTTGACAGAAAAAAGTTGGAAACCCTACCTACACCTACAGGAAATGATCGATTATTTTTTGTTTTTGATTTTTACTAAATCACAGTGATCGGTTTGAATCATCATTAAGTATATCATAATCAACGTATCGTAAACGGCCAGTTATCATATCACGATCACTAACACCTGCTTATGTTTTGATAGATTAACTATGGTATAAACGTGATCATCACATTACGTGCGTAGTGACTGATACTTCCTAGTTTCAGGTGGAGCATGGTATAATTAAGTTTTTCGATATTAAATCAATCACTTTGTTTTTAACTTCATAGGTAGGTAATCGAAATGAACCATTCAACATAGTTTTTTTTTACGTGATCAAAAAGCTAATAGTGCACTATTTAAATTTATTATGGAAAATACACTTATATTTTAATATGAAATCTCTTAATAATAGGTACGAACACGCTTTTAAAAACAAAAAATCTTCGTGAAAATTATTTCTTACCTACATATTTGCTTAAAAACAACGGAATACCTAGCTGAAAAAGCGAATATTTTTTTTCTGTCGCTGCGCCAGATTTTTTTTTTTATTATTTATTTCTAAAATATCCGTTTCCAATAAATACTTAATTACCTCTTTTCTGTTTTATTTTTACGAATTCATAATTTTCTTACATCATTTTACATCACAATTCGCGTGCGAATAATGACAGTTGAGGATGGTAGATAATACAACATGCGCACGAGACATCAACTAAATAGAACCAAGGATGTTTAACGAACAAAAAGCAATCACGAATACTTATTATATTTGCTAAATACTGGGTAATTCAAGCTAATTAATATAATATTTGTTTCTTAGGTTTTCACGCACTCCACTCATTGAATTAAATAAGTTTCAACGGTATAGATGCACTAATTTATTTATTTAATGACATTTCGCATCCTTTTCAGGGTAATTCAGTTAATAAATAATAAGATAATTCAGTTAATATATATATGTAGGTATATTTATAGATGTTATGTATTATAATTTTTATATTAAGTATCATGTAGTTTTGTCAATTTATTTTTTTTTCTTTTCCTTTCACCTTTTGCTTTTATTTACTTTACCGCATAATGTATCTACTTAGCCCGATGGTTGACTGGTAGAGAATGTCATGTGGCATTAAGTCCGCCATTTGTTGTCAATGACAATAAAGAGTAAATAAATAAATAAATAAATCAGTGCATCTATACCGTTGAAACTTGTTTTATTTAATTAATATAATATTAAAACGAACCAATATCGAATTCTTCTCATTTGCGAGTCCGAAATGTCACTGTCAAATGTGTACTGATTTTTAGTTACGTACTTTATGCCGCTGCTGTTCAAGTTTCCATACAAAATTTGACATTGACATTTCGGTTTGCAAACCATTCGAATTCGATATTGGTTCGTCCTAAGGGTACAGTTAAGTTTCACGGTCTGTGGTAGACAAAGCATAGATTAACACGCAAAAAAGTTATGTTGTATTTATGGTCTTGCAACATCAGATTTACATCTATTTCAGTCTCTTCAATGTTATTAAGATAAACATTAACCAAATCAATTATATCATAGCCAAAGTTTATTCACGATATTACGACAAAACAACGCAAAAAGTTTTACGTTTCTTGAAATCAATCAGCGATATGGATAATATGGATATGGCCTGTCATCCGTACTAATAGAGGAGCTGGATGGCGCAGGTGGTTAGCGCGTTCGGCTGCGATAGTTGAAGTTAAGCAACTTTCGCAGTGGTCGGTCATTGGATGGGTGACCAAAAATCTTCTATCTCGAGTTCCTCCGTGCTTCGGAAGGCACGTTAAGCCGTTGGTCCCGGTTGCATCTGCAGTCGTCAGCACCCGCCAATCCGCACTGGGCCCGCGTGGTGGGTCATGGCCCAATCTCCCTATTCCATCCATAGGGCAGGCCTGTGCCCCAGCAGTGGGGACATAAATAGGCTGATGATGATGATCCGTACTAATATCCATTTCCATCTATACCTACTCCCATACTAATATTATAAATGCAAAAGTGGGTCGGTCTATCGGTCTGTCTGCTATTTAAACAACAAGCTTTAACAGCTGAACCGACTTAACCGACATAGGATAGGTTTTGTCCCGAAAACGGTGGAAGTTTGTATGGGAAACTTATTTTTCCACGCAGACTCAGTCGCGTGCATTCTCTAGTAATAAACAATTTAGAAGATATGGTTCTATTTTTATTATTTTTTTAAGATTGACGTCCTCCGTGGCCTAGTGGTTTGTACGCCGGGTTTCATGGTGTCGCCGACTTGAGAGGTCCTGGGTTCAAATCCCGGTGGGGGCATATATTTGTATGATGAATACGAGCATTTGTGCTTCAGTCATGGATGTTTAATATGTATTTTCTATATAAATAAACATATATATGTACAGTATAGGTATGTATTCTATCCGTTACCCTAGTATCCCACACAAGCCTTATAGTGCTTACTTTGGGGCTAGGCTAATTGGTGTAAGTGTTGGAAATATTTATTTTATTTATTTATTATTTTTTCAAACACAAAGAATCGTGAACAACAAAATCCCTATTAATCAGTGTTGTATGTACTAATGAATCATCGCAATAAATAGTCATCAAAATCACGAAATGTGGACGATGAAAGGCAAGGCATAGCGAGTTTCCCATACAAAATAACACAAAGTGTCGCCGCACACGGGCCACCGACCACAACCACAAAACGCCGCCACCGGCATATTTCTTGTAGTTTTCATACATTTTATATGGACTCGCCACACACGGTACGCCGGTGGCCGCCACACGCTACAAATCGTTGCTTGCTTCTTGTGGCCCGCACCGGCCACTTAATGCGCCGATACAAAAGCCGCCACACGTCACTCGCACGATTCCCGACTCCTCTCTCCCTTACCTTAGTCGGCCGCTGTCGCGTGCTTCAGCCACTTTAGTAGCCGCTTCTAGCTTCTCGTGGCGGCGTTTGTAGCTGTGGCGTGTGGCCCGTGTGCGGTGACACAAAGATTTACACTCCAGCAAACTTCTTGAGCAACGACCATAGACGAGGAAGCCTGCGCAGTAGTTGTTCGTAAAAAAAACTTCTACTGCGCAAGTTTATTTGTCTGTGGTTTTGCGAGAAGTTTGCCGCTACATACTTTGCAACTGATTGTCATTTCTCCCAGGCGCCCAGATCGTCGCCAGGTCTTCAAGCCGTCGTGCATCTCGAACCTGACGAGGAGTCAGGAGTCGAGGGCACCCTCATATTCACTCAGATCGTGCCCAACGGCCCCGTGACTGTGGAGGGCAACGTGACCGGCCTGACTCCAGGGCTCCACGGCGTGCACGTGCATCAGACCGGTTCCATCAAAGATAGCTGCAAGGATATTGGACCACACTTCATCGCGTATTATGTGAGTTTAATTCTTTTTAAGGTAAAAAACAAGCATATGGCTCCCCTGATGATAAGCGGCCATCAAAGCCTATAGACGCTTGCGATATCAAAAATCTGTTCCCTATCCTGCCCCAATTCCCTAACCCGAGTTCTTTATTTTATTACGCAGGCAACACCTCCATTTACAGACGTCGGCGCCTATAAGTGTCGCCGCACACAACCACAAAACGACGCCACCGGCATATTTCTTGTAGTTTTCATACATTTTATATGGACTCGCCACACACGGTACGCCGGTGGCCGCCACACGCTACAAATCGTCGTTGCTCGCTTCTTGTGGCCCGCACCGCATGCGTCGATACAAAACGCCACCACACGTCACTCGCGCCATTCCCCACCCCTGTCTCCCTTACCTTAGTCGGTCGCTGTCGCGCGCTTTAGCCACTGTAGTAGCCGCTTCCAGTTTCTCGTGGCGGCACACCTCACCTCACGACCTCGCACCCAGCACTCGCAAACTTCACGGGCACGATGGGGCTAACGCCCAAAGTAACTCGCGCCATTTACGAGCACTAGTAACGGCGTACTATCCTCTAAATAATACCCTCTAAGCGAACCCGCTGCGAATACCCTCTAAGCTGCTTATTGCGAAGCCCTCGGGATACCCGTTTAGGGATTCTTCCGCGTTTAACCCGAGGAGCCCTGGAATCTTACTCGCCGACAGAAACACAACACCACCAAAAGGTGATGCTTTACTTGTACTTTGGGGTCTTCTGTAAGTTGGAGGTTACTTCCACAAACGGGCGCTCCAATTCGAGCGGAAAATCTGCTATGCCCTACCTCTCTTTAGTATCCGAAAGAGATATTGCACCAGTACCCCTAGCACGAACCCTTATCGAATTCGAATAGTTTGCAAACCGAAATTTCAATGTCAAATATTGTATGGAAACTTGAACACCAGCAGCACAAAGTACGTAACGAGAACTAAAAAATCAGCACACATTTGACAATGACATTTCGGACTCGCAAACGATACGAATACGATATTGGTTCGCGCTAGGGGTACTGATAGAAAAACCCAAGCCCAAGTACATGTCGTGCACGCGCAGTGTAGGGTTCCGTAGTCGCCTGTCGTTACCACAATATATTTGAGCAGGAGTCTTCATTTTCTGTATTAGAAATTAAGAAAATCAATTTTTAAATAGTTTTTCTAGTCTTAGTTTTTCAATGCAAGGTTTTGCGCTAAAATAAATTCATCCTTGTCACTATTAATGTTTTATTCTAAGGAAAATATTTTCTATAACGACTATTACTCTTAAAGTAAAAAATCTATCTAAACCATTAAAATTTTCCTTAAAAGTTCCTTTTCCTATTCAAAAACTGTGATTACCTATTTTTAACCCCAGCCGCTAAAAAAGGGGTGTTATAAGTTTGACCTGTCTGTGTGTTTGTCTCGTGCATCGTAGCCTCCATCGTGCATCCATCGGTCCATTCGTTTAAGAAAACGAATGGACTCATTTGGATGCGAGTTTTTTATTGACTACGCATTTCGCAACAGCGCCTGTATTAGCGGACGCTTCCTACTAACATTTTCTGAATAAGTTGAATAAAATGTACAAATGCTTTATTTTATTTATTTATTTAATATTTAATGCCTTTACATTGCATATGGCAGACTTAATGCCAGCATGGCATTCTCTACCAGCCAACCGAAAAGAACATGCAGAGTCAATAAAACGGCAGACAATCATAGAAAAGAGCAAACATCAAACAATGAGTTTAATTCATTCACATATAAATATAAATTGTAATTTAATAGTATTTTTAATTCCCACCCGTGCTAATCCAGGTCACAAAAACTCAATAATGTTTATTTACTTAATATTTTTTTAATACTATGAAAATATTAGAACTAAGTATTTACCTCTAATTAGGAAATTCTGTTCTGATTGGTTTACAAATTTAATACCTACCTGTCCACATTATTTTTGTTTTAAAGTAGGAAATATGTTGGTCATCATAGTTATGTTAATGACACCACGACCACTATAAATTACTTATGTCATCATAACACAACAATACCCAATTAATATATAATACCTATATTTTTCACCAGGGTCGTCATGGTGGACCACGCGATCACATCCGTCACGTCGGCGACCTTGGCAACATTAAAGCTGAGGAGGGCCCGGTGACTATCAAGATTGTGGACCACTTGATATCATTAGCTGGTCCCCGATCCATCGTTGGAAGGTCTTTAGCCATCTCCAAGGAGGAAGACGATTACGGCCGATCTAGTACAGAAGACAGCGCGTTGACTGGCACTTCGGGACCAGCTGTGGCTTGCGGCATCATCGGCTACGTTAACTAATCTAAATCTTCTATGAGTACGACGTGACATTTCAATTATTGTACTGTGAATTTTGGAAATAAAGTGTGTGATTTTTGTAAGTAGGTAGGTACGTAAATCTAAGTCTTGCTAATATTTGTGTGTTTTATTATGCGTTTAATTGGGAATAGTATTCGTGTACCTACACCATGAAGGTTGCATTGTTTGTAATAGGCTAGGGAAGTACCTACAATCAATTCAAGGGAACATCCTTTACAAGCGAAGCAAGAAGCAAGCTTTTTTCCTGCCATAACTATTGCCTTATACTCATTTAAAGTCCTCATAGGACATTTAACATTGATCCAGCTCGAGGAACAGTGGCGGGGCAAGACCTAAATTTGATGTGGGCAAGACAGATTTCGCGAGGCCCTGTTCTGTGGCGACCTGAAGACGGATTTTATAAAATAATATAAAAAAGAAATTCGCTTTTAAGCAATGCATAAAAATTATGGGGCGCGAGGCCGTAGGCGGTGGCCCACGTCGCCCACCCCTTACGCCGCCTCTGTCGAGGGACAAATGTAAAAGGTCCTATGGAGGCTTTAAATTGAGTGGACTGTATTTCAGGACAGGTATATATTGGCAGGCGCGGTCTCAGAAATTTCAGCAAAGTAAATTAAGGTTTTTTTGGGTAGAGCTCATCGTCGCAATGCATCGTGGCTAGGGACAGAAGAGTTTTCAATTTGACGTCTGCGATATTGGCGGGGGCCATCTCCACTGTGACTAGCAAGTTGCTTATCCCTCTACAGGTCCTACCCTAAGCCAAAATCGGAGAAGGTAAATTCAAATTCTTTCTTACAATAACTATAATTGTTGTATAGTTGTAAGTACCCTCACCAGGATTCGGTAAGGTTTCAGGCAGGACTCAAACCTGCGCCTTCCGCTGTCCGAGCGGATACACTAGCGGTAACAATAGTATAGCGTGAGCGGTTAGTGCTTCCGCCCGGACAGCGGAAGACGCAGGTTCGGGTCCTGTGGTCTTGCCTATATGACATAATCATAATAAGAAATAAATAGACCAAACAGTTCAAAAATAATCTAGGAAAATCAGGTGTGATTATACTACGAAGAACTACTTAAGCATTTAATACCTAATTTAACTCTGCAGTAAGACGAATTAGTAGGACCACAAGGAATCTGCCGATTTATAGCAGGGCAGGCAGGGATGTGGCCCAGAGTCCCCCACAAGAGGGGGTCCCACAGCAGAGGTCCTCACGCCAGGGGGGTATACAAATCGTCAGTGATACGGCCCAGATTTAGGGACCCCCAAACCTCTAAATCCGGCCCTGATTATATATATTCGGCTAGTCTTCTGAGATGGAGTATAGTACTCTTGACCAGACCAATGACCTGTTCTAATCTGTTGCACCAGGCAATAATTTGAATGGAAATTAGTCGACTCGCTAGGTGTATCAATGCCATGGTATTAATTCAATGTATTGCAGCGCCATCTATACGCCCACGGAGCAAATACAATAATAGGTGCTTTTTTCACACTAAGAACTATCTTTCCACACCAATGATGACCTGACAAATTACATTTTGCCCAAATAACAGCATATCAAACCTCATCTCCCAAAAAACAGAGCATCATGAGAAGGAATATGATCTTCTATAACCTTATTAATAAACTAAGACTACGCTTGGACTAGTTACTCCATGTTTTGTATCTGTCTATTGAATGACAAATGGCATTTTATTGACATGAACAAAACACGGCTAAAGTAGTCTTAGCTTATTCCTTGTTTATTAATAAGGGGGTTAGTGTATTGTAAAAACAGCTATTCAGGTCAAGTATCACCAAAACAGTCAAATTTCTATAACTTTCATCTTAACGAACTTGGTATAAGATCCAAAATATATTGAGGAAATTTTAGCTTGTGGAAGCTCGATGTATGACTGTCTGTAGCTCCTAATATACCGATCACCTTTATTTATTACAAATATCTATATATTTTTTTAAATTCAATCATTCCAATAATTTCAACGGAATTTGTTCATGTTGTTATGTTTCATTCGCCATTCCTGCATCCAAATTAATAGTACCTACATCATTCAGGAACTAAATAATTGACTACAACAAAAACACAAACCTGATTGAAACAGTATATTTCAAAAAATACAAAAACGTAACAAATACCAAAATGAAACTTTGAAAAAAATCACAAAAGGTCTACATGTTTCTGAGCACCAAAGATGATTGTCGAATATAAATATATCGAGATAAATGGATTTCCTCTTACATTATACAAAATGTGATGTTCTAAATTACCGCTAAAAATAACTTAATAAAATTGTGCTTACACCTTAAACTTCACAATGAGACGGACGGCTAACTTCTATATCAAGTTACACTTAATTGCGGCTATTTTCTAAGATCTTCACAAACTTGACTTGCACTTCCCGCTCATTAGAAAGAGAACCAACATTTAAAGCAGTAGACAACCATAACTTTAAAAGTTATCTCAATAGAGGTTTGTTAATGTCAACCGCATTAATAAAACATTGGTTTGGTTTCCAATCTGTGATGTTATTTTAAATAGGATACCGACAGACCAAATACTTGATAGGGTACTTTTCATTGCCATGTTACACCCAAGGGTTAAATCAAAAATTAACAGTTAACTGGCAGTTTTATTATCATGCCAAATTGCATTGACGCCTCAAATCACCCCATGTCGTGCTAATCTTTAAGTCTTTGGTGAGACGGTATAATTGTGATAATAAAAGTAAATAAATTTATTGGAGGCCAAGAGAGGCGACAAGGCTGTCCACTTTGGCGATGTAGGCTTTCTGTGCGTCCTCTTTGGAAACACCCTTCTTGCCACTCCACGCTTCGAATTTCGCCTTGCCTTTGAAGTCCAGCATGCCAGGTTTATCTTTAACAAAAGAATAATTTAAGAATTAAAAATTGACAATTTTACTAGAAAAAAGTCTAAGCAGCTGACGGGACCCGATCTTCCGCTATCCGGGCGGATGCACTGACCAATTATGCTACCGCGATGCAATTATATTTAAAGGTCTTGTCGAATTTCGTCTAGTATTTCTGAAGCTGCAAGGCAGCGCAATTTAAGCATCTAGCATTTACATTCTTAATACACCAATGTTCGCACGCAGGGACGACACATTTTTTGTTGTTGTTTTTTTTATTTATTAATTTAATAGCTACTTTGTTAAACTACGTTGTGAAACTCTTATATTAGCTTATTAAATAAAGTTTTGTTTCCAGTATGTTATAGAAAAGAAGCGGTTATGCTTCGAAATATATAAATAAATTACTACACTGTCATCAAGAGGTAATAGGGGTGATGACGGGGCACAGTAAACGAAATTCTATTTAGTCCGTCAGTAAGATGATCAAAAGATAATGGACACGTATTTTTTTCTTTGGGCAATCAACCAAAAAATGGCAAAGTTATAACTTTGTCATTTTTTGATTGATTGCCCAAAGCGCTATAGCGCGTCAAAGTTTGGGAGTTTGGGGCTCGTGACGTCACTTTTAAGTGGAAATTGTACCAAAACGTGACGTCATGCGACTTTTCAAATCAACATATCTCTGCAATGTTTATATTATGTGAAAAAAGAAAAAATACGTGTCCAATACTCTTAGATAATATAAACTACCTGATAAACGAAAAAAAAAAATAGTCTTCATCCCTATTGAAAATGTGTTATCATTGAGGTGGCGCCACCTAGCGAATACTGTTCCATCACAAAGTTCACTGGCGGTAGATGTCGCTACGTTAAAGAAATACAGTGTCGATGTGGTGCTATTTTTTTTTTTTTACTTATCGCTGCTATATAGCCTTGACCATCAGACTCTAAGTGGGCAAAGTACAACAACCGGCGTTTCTTTAAACGCTGTAAATTAGTAGGTGTACAAAAATAGCTCTTAACCACTGAGAAATAAACACGTCATAAGTAACTGTGTTTTTAATGGAAAATAACTATTTTTAATAAGTTGCCTCATGGAAAGAATCTCGTTGATTATTATTCACTTAATGTTCGGTATACAGATACCTATTCGTTAAGATCTAATCAACAAGTTTCCCTAAAAAAGCTGACGTCGAGTTTTAAATTGGATGTCGAGAGTACTGCATTGAATAATTTTAACTGTACAGCAAACATTTTAGAGAGCAACATATTACGAGTAGTACACACTAAGCCGACGGTACAGCCGGCGGTTTTTGCCACGCGAATATATCCCCCACTTTTAGCAGAGATTTAGTTGATTCCACTTGAATAGGGTATTTGACAAGTTTTAGAAAACGATCTCACGTTATTGACTAATGTTTATGGAGTCCGTAATAAGTAGATATAAATCATTCTGTTGTGTATTTCAGTAAAAATAACCAAATCAAAAAACTCCATTTTTAAGTTGCCGCGAAAACGTTTATCTGGACAATATGGCGACATACTGGTGTGTGACGTCACACGACTGTAATTAAAACGTCAAACGATACAATGTGTGATGTCATTTTAGGCTCCGCCAATCCCGGGCGTTTTGGGTCAGGTGACAATAGATAAGAAAACAGTAACTATTATCTTGTTCGTGGGTTTTTAGTAAAAATGTGAATATTCCTTTTGTAAAAATAGTTAAAAACCCCTGCAAATATTCATTCTTAACACAGATGCTAACAATTGGCACTTTATTTTTAATACTGTCAAATACCCTATTGCAGCACCCGTCTGGGATGACAGAAAACCACGAGACACAAATGGCAGAAAACCACAGCAAAATAACTGTACCTTTTGGTGATGTCGTGTTTCTAACGATCAGTTGGCCTACCAAGGCAACACGGGGTATCCAGAGTAGATAGCGCGGTGTACATGCCATATAACCATCATTATATCAGCCATTGTACCACAATAATGGCCCATCACTATTAATTATGCTTGTTTGCCACCTTTTTATTTATTTCATTGAGCAACCATACCATAACCATAGCCATACTTGTAAACATGATTTTGATGGCTAAGAGATGCTGTTATATGCGTTAAAAATGGCAGAAGCCGCAAAGCATGATCATTATTAGTATATATTTTTTTAGAACTTAACTGCTTGATCTAAAGAAGGCAGCGGACTCGAACCCAAACTCGGGGTTCGAGTCCCGTCTGCTGCCTGGTTCGCGTGTAATTTTTTCTAGTTATATTTTCTTTAGATTTAAACATCAAGCAGCTACATGCTTAAAAAATAAAAAAAATAACTGCTAGATGTTTAAATTTAAAGAAAAATTGACTAGATAAAACTATTATTGGAAGGATTGAAAGCGAATTACTAAGCCCGATTTCTCGATAAAAACCGTCATCATGCATGGTTAGCGGTATGCCCGCCAGTCTGTCCAACAGCTTAATGTGTACGTGCCTTAGTAATGATTCAAGTCGGCTATCTCATATAACAATCGACCAAGCGTGAAGTATGCACGCTTGGTGCTCTCACGCAACCACACAAACGGGGACATTCACATCTCCGTAGAAGAAGTTTAAACTTTAAAATTTCAAAGAATACGGGAAAATTGGAAACGCGATATTCATTAACTAGGTATTTCAAATTGAAATTCTCAAGATTGTTTATTATTGGCTTAGATTTGATAAAAGCGAATACAATGATAATAATACTTGTGGACTATTTAACTATCGGAATACATACTACTTCAATTGACTAAGGCCCCATTTTTCAATACTCGGATAAAACTAACTGTTCAATAAATTAATAAAGTCAATCAAGTAGAGACAGAGATGTCATCCGTCACAGCACAGCACATAACTACACACTTGCCCGTAAAATACGATATTGGTGTCGATTTTGGCACGATTCTCTAAATTTAAACTTAAATTTGACAACACTGGTGCCAATTCTGGCGTGATTATCTAAACTTAAAACTAAATTTAACATCAGTCTCTCCTTTTCATTCTGTATAGAGAATGACAAGAATATACTGCTGTCAAATTTAAGTTTAGGTTTAGAGAATCATGCTAGAATCGACACCATTAGATAGTTAAATTTTATCCAGTGTTCGAGAAATCAGGCCTAACTAATCACAATCACACTAATATCATAAAGGCGAAAGTTTGTGAGTGTGTATGTTTGTTACTTCTTTACGTCTAAACGGCTGGAGCGATTTTAATAAAATTTGGTTTGGAGTTAGCTGACACACTGGATTAACACATAGGCTAACGTTTTACTGTGGGAAAAAATATCCATAATAAACCGCGGGTAACACCGCGCGGCACAGCTAGTAATATTATAAAGGCGAAACTGTGAGTGTGTATGTTTGTTACTTCTTCGCGTCTAAACGGCTGGAGCGATTTTAATAAAATTTGGTATGGGGTTACCTTACACTCTGGATTAACACATGGGCTATGTTCTACTGCGGGAACATACCCCTAATAAACCGCGGGTAACACCGCGGGGCACAGCTAGTATTAATATATAACATCGATGTCTGTGGGTTAATTATATTGAAATCTGCGTCTAACGACTTATTGTGGCATCCATTAATATGTGTATGGTTTGCAGTTATAAAATGTTGTAAGCAAACAAACAATAGCCGTTTAATCATATGAACAGCATAGCATACATAATTTAATTGTATTTTGCTTGCATTAAATTAACATCACGCAGTCATCGCGATATAATTCCACGCATACAACAGCATCTCTTAGCCACCAAAATGATATTACAAGTACGTGACATAAAAAAACATTTTTTTTTATTTGGTCCTGCCTGCTACATTGCTTCTTAAATACATTTTTTTGTTTTTTATTATTATAACACTATGGTGTCAATTCTGACACGATTCTCTAAACCTAAACTTAAAGGAGATTGCTCAAATTGGCCCAAACATACAAAATACAAAAATTGACATATACCGTAATTCTTGGCGTAATTTATACTTTATTTTACAGTCACTAGATTTTAACGGACACCTTTGTATAATATATTCATTTTAAAAAGGACTTTTAATTTTACCGGTTTGGAAAACATACGAATCATTTTTAATGGCTATGGGTGTTTTCAGCCAAACACTGATCGAAGTTGTTTATATAACATCAAAACAAATCTATTTTGTAAACATCGATAAAATAAAACATTCAAATCAAATCAAATCATCTTTATTGCGAATACAGGTTGCAGAGTTGTTACATAGATACATTTTAATACAGTACAGCCATATTCTGCCTTATCGGCATGCAATATAATATTTCTATAAAACATTAATTATTTCAATGTCACATTAATAAATTTTACATAGTTAATTCAAAATGTCAATAAGTGATAAATATGTGATTGAAATTATTTCATGCATGTCATTTTCTATATTAGTCTAAAAACTTTTGTCTTCCAAAAATTCACGCACCGTATAGTAACATTTTTCTATTAAAAAATGTTGTAATTTGTTTTTAAATATATTGGTCACGGTAATTTCTCGCACACTTTCAGGTAATTTACTATAAATAATAGGAGCATTGCAAAACACACTTTTCCTAAATAGTGCCGTATTACAGGGGACTACACAAAGTTTTCCAATATGACGTTCACGAGTTCTGGCCTTAAATATTTTAATATTACTTTTTTCAAAGTTTGTAATTTTTTTGTTACACTGTGGTTATAATATCCACAAGTATATTATCATTTTTACTACATGCAAAGTGCTAAGACAAATATTATAGATGGTAGGGGACATCATAAAGTCTATTGCCATACATTTTTCGCCATACACATCCATAAACACATTATAAGGTGTGATACACTAAAATCTAAAATATGGTTATAATATAAATATAACAAAAATAATAAGCTTCTTTAGTTAACCAGAGTTTAAAAATTCTCTCTAATCTGTGGCTCATTCACACACAAATTCTGTACACAGAGTACCTTATTATATCCGGAAATGCATAGATGATACCTGATTTTAAAAGTTACTCTTATGCATTAACTTTAAAAACAGGCAATCTATTAATCTACATGCTATATATACCTGAATGTAATACATAATTTCGGTACTTGGTTTGATTTCCCTAGTTTGCTGTATAACTTATTTGCTTTTTATTATTTTAATACCTATGAACCTATTTGCAAACATAACCTCAAAATCATTCAGTGTATATGGTTTATAGAAGTTCTCAGGGGTGTCCGTCAATAATATTCGTTTCTAAAGTAATTTATATATAATTTCGAATCTAGGAAACAATTTTTCATGATTATTGGTCTTTAGGCCAAACATGTATGGAAGCTGAGCAATATCCTTTGACAACAGTGTACCCTTGTCATTCTCTATACGGAATAAGAAGGAGAGATTGATGTTAAATTTAGTTTTAAGTTTAGAGAATCACGCCAGAATCGACACCTATGTTTAATTAAAGGTTAGATGCACAGATTTTATTTATTTATTGACGTTTCTCATCCTTTTCAGGAATGCGCCGTCGGAATAATTCCGAGGAATGAGTGATGTGCGTGAAAACCTAAGAAACAACTATGTTCAGTGCCGCCTTTGACCTATTGGAGACCCTGGGCATATTAGGATAATGGGGCCCCTATGACGCCCCGTTTGGTGATTTAACAGAACCCCTATCCATCGCGGAGCCCTGAGCACTTGTCCAAAGTGCCCACTGGGAAAGAGGGGTCTGACTATGTTTAATTATTGGCAAGGTCCCCCCTGGTTGGGTAAAGGCCTCCTCCAGCGTGACATAACAAGCACCATAATCAACACAAAATAGTCCACGTATTGCAAATCTCTACCCACACTATCAGTAGGTAATAGATAAACCACGATATGATATTACCTGATTATTTGCTACAAATACAGATACCGTCCAGACGATGCGTGTATTTATCGGGTACTTTATTATAGTCGACTTGCCCTAATTCCGCAGCCCACTTGATCATTATTGACGTAAAAACTATTGTGATATTTTAAACTAGAGAAAATTTTGCTAGAAAAATCCCACGCGGACCAGGCAGCAGACAAGACTCGAACCCGCACCGTAGACAGCCTAATGGCCGTGTCAAGTCTTTCTAGTATTTCTTAGGCTGCAAGGCAACGCAATCTCTTAGCATTTTGCTTTTGAAGGTTTTTTAAATTATTTTTTTTTTACAACCAGGTAAACATAATTTAGATTTATGTGGACCTGGCTAATAATAATCAATCAAAGTTAAATACCTAACTTAAATGACGAGTGTTTAATTAAAGTTGAATTCGATAAGTTGAATCTTATCTTTATGAACATTATATCTTTTAAACATTACTTAAAAATCAATCATCTTTTATCATAGGTAATTATGGCAAATGATGTATTTCTATATGACTGGAAACACAAATTAATTTATTATGAAAATCCTGAAAGTAAATCCTATCAATTGCCGTTTTAATTTGTAACCCACCCAAAAACATAAACAATTTTACTGTGGACTCGTAAATTTTAGAACCATGTGTTGTAAGATCTAAATACCTCTATCATTGTTTGAATACTATATCATTTTGGTTGCACTGAATAAATAAATAAACTCATATTGTAGGAGCCTTGTAGGCAAGGGCGTCGCCAAGGGGGGGCAGGGGGGGCAGGTGCCCCCCCCCCCCTCCTAGAGGTCAAATATAGCTAGCCGCAAAGCAGCCAAAGTGCGAGCAATTGACTTCCTTACCTATTATATTGCCCCATTGCCCCTCCCTTAGTCATAAGCTGGCGACGCCCTTGCTTGTAGGAGGGGCAAAACATGGTTTACCGAAGAGTGAAAGTCATTTTTAAACCGATTCAGTAGTTCCTTAGATTACGTGTAACCGTCCCTAATCATTAACTTTCCCCGTTCCGTCGGTGTGACTAGAAACCCGTTCTTACACGATTTACGTCAGACCTCGCATTTCAAGGATTCCAAGACGAGATGATAGGTGGCGAGTGTCATGGCCGTGTTTATTTATAATTAATGTTGAGTACCGACTACCGACATAACAATGACGTAAAATATGACCTCTTTTAACTAAAAATTGCTTTTAGGATGGAGCAGTACCCTTAGCACGACAATATGGAATTCGTAATGTTTGTGAGTAAGAAATGTCATTGTCAAATGTGTACTGATTTTTAGTTCTCGTTACGTCCGTTATGGCGCAGCTGTTTAAGTTTCCATACAAAAACAAAAAAGACAATGACATTTCGGACTCGCAAATAATTCGACAATGGTTCGTGCTAAGGGTACAGAAATGCCGAAAGCCACTATTATGGACTTGTATGGACTTGTATGGACACGAGACCAACTTGAAATATCTTTCAAATGTCTACTGTATTATTGTTACAGTAGAGTTCGCTGAATGACGGAGTCGTGTGAGTATGTAGTAGCCAATAAAATAATTTAGATTGTTTCTAGCCCTTCTTAAGCTACAAAGCAGCGCCAAGTCTTCGCATTGTAGGTAACCAACAATGTCAAATGAATACTTTTACAAGTACCTACCTATTAAACATTTGTAAGAAGAAATAGCAATTATAGTTTTTTTTTAAACCAAATAACTGCTCGATGTTTAAATCTAAAGAAAATATTGCTAGAAAAAAATCCACGCGCACCAGGCAGCAGACGGGACTCGAACCCGCACCATTCGGTCGCTATCCGGGCGAATGCACTGATCATTATGCTACCGCGGCCCTGATGCCCATGCGTCTGCTGCACAATCTATCAGTTGATGTGGAGGAAAATATTTGTGGACCTTGCGGAGGTATTGCCAAATATTTTGACGCAGTGTTAGCTTTTGAGCTGTCTATGTATCATCCAAAATGCAGGTTGGATGGCAAAAATTATGATGAATACTTTAAGATCGACAACGGGCGTGTAACGCCTAGTGATGCAGGCATAAAATGACCCTTGACCATCAGGTGGAACGTATGTTTCTTTGACTAATGTGAAGTGGGTTTGTCTGTTCGTATAAAACAGAATGACATACCTCCAGTGAGCTTTTGGCATGGTCTTTGATTTATAAATTTAGTAATTTGTATGGGAAACCAATTATACTACGCAGACGAAGTCACGGGCACCCACTAGCAACAAGCAGCGACGTATTTATCATTTTTATATTGCGCAGGCAAAACCATTATAATTCCAATATAAATAAACCAACGAACAGACCTCACACCTAGCCTCCCGCAAGTTTCACAGTGCGAAACGGAAAAACCGTTAAGCAGTCCGCGCTGCTTACAAGCGCCAGGGCTTACTATACATTAAAAAAAACCCTGCGAATACCCTCTACGCTGTTAAGTGCGAAACTGCGAGATCCTCGTTGAAGGACTTCACCCCGTCTCGGGACATATTTACCCTAGTGCCAAAAGGCAGAAGCCATACAAAGAAATTCGTTATGTAAATATTTAGATTTGATTAACTAATTCAAGGGATGAAAGCTACTTACTGGCTGGGTCAGCGTCTCCAACTGAGGCCTGTTTGAAGAGCGCGTATAGCTCCAGAAGATCGGCGTCGCTGGGCAGCGACTTCAGGTTCCTCACATTGGCGGCAGCGGCGTCGAATTGCTGCAATTGTCAACACCCATAACGTGATTCATTACACGTATATAACGAGTTAGTTAGTGAGGAGCTCGATGGCGCAGGAGACTAGCGCGTTCGGCTGCGATCGTTGAAGTGAAGCAACTTTCGCAGTGGCCGGTCATTGGATGGGTGACCAAAACTCTTCTATCTCGAGTTCCTCCGTGCTTCGGAAGGCACGTTAAGCCGTTGGTCCCGGCTGCATCTGCAGTCGTTAGCACCCGCCAATCCGCACTGGGCCCGCGTGGTGGGTCATGGCCCAATCTCCATATTCCATCCATAAGGAGTGCCTGTGCCCCAGCAGTGGGGGCATTAATAGGCTGATGATGATGATATAACGAGTAGGTATATATCGGCGACCTTCTTGAGCAAAACCACAGACAAAGAAACTTGCGCAAGAGACGATTTTGTATGTAAAATTGCTACTGCGCAGGTTTCCTTATGATTGTTACTCGAGAAGTATGCAGGGGTGTATATCCGTATACCTGCCTGAATTTAAATGAGTCGAACTTGTTCTAAATAGTCTGATTGTGAACTACATTTCAAAATTCCGAGACATTTTCATATCCTACTACTGTCTCAGTACAAAAATGATAATCTTAAGATAACTATTACACAAAATTAATACATAACAACTTTATCATTTTTATATAATAGTTATGTAAGATCTCAACTTGAGTACCCTTCAACAGTCTGGAATTGGCAAGACTTAACATACATAAACACGATAGGAAAATTACAGAATAAAATTAGGATGAAATATTACTACATAGCATTTAACTACTATTAATAACGATTAAATGTACCATTTTGTTGTCTTAAATAAACAATTTTGAATTGAATTACAAATTTAATGATTTTTATGAGGATGACCTGCAATCTCAGCACACTAAAGATTGTGTAGAGACTTGGCCTTGCTTCACATACTTACTTGCATGTGACGTCATTTTAGGCTCCACCAATCCCTAGCGTTTTGGGTCACGTGACAATAGATAAGAAAACTATTATCTTTTTCGTGGGTTTTTAGTAAAATTATGAATATTTTTTTGTAAAAATATAGTAAAAACCCCTGCCAATATTCATTCTAAACACAGATGCTAACAATTGGCACTTTATTTTTAATACTGTCAAATACCCTATTCTTGGAAATTCAAAAACTAATTAGCAACTTGATTTAGGCACAACATTTTTATTCCATTTTATTTTATATCCATTATGTCAAAAATTCCTTTTTTTTTTCATGTACAGTAGACACTATGTGAGATAAATAATAGTGGAAATTACAATTGCTTATGCTAAATGTTATATTTTTATGTGTTAATTAATGCTGTTTAAATATTACTCATCTATACTTCATGAAACATAATTTGATTATAGTATGCGATGGTAATTCAAAACACACTGATAGATTTTTGTTCCATGACACCCAGGAAGGATCCTTCAATGTTTCTGTTAATTTTTACCACATACATATTTATGATTCCAAAGTACGCACTCATGAACAAGGTTAAAAAAGGTCTGTCTACTTAAACAAGTCAACTGTTTTACCGAAATTTAAATGTGATTTAAAAGTGTCACTTTGTCTTCAACTTCACTTAATGTTTAAAATTAAGATGTATGTACAATAAATAACTTATTAAGTTATAATTTTGCTTGAAATTTGACTATTTTTATGTAAGTATTTTATTTTCATAATTTACAACTGATATCTTTCAAGAAAATTACAATCCTCTCTTGAAGAATTAAATTGGTTAATTAGTCTGTTTTATTTATTTTTTGATACCAATTGCACATTTTTGAAATATTTTTGTTTTTCAAATAATTCATATTGGAATTGTAATGACCATAATGGTCTTATAAGTGTTCTGCAATCCTCTAATAATTTTCTTAAGAGTTTAAAAAATCATGCAAGCCTAAGAAATTCAATTGAATGTAGTATTATAAGCTATATTAAGACATATATATATTTATAAACAAGCTGCTATATAATTGTTTTAGTAGAATCTCTTCCTGCTGCATGATTATGACATGTCTTATCTATGATAACCTCTGCAATAACACACCAAAAGCAAGGTGATATGAAAGTCAAATCAATACCAACATACAGGTCACCAGTGAAAATATCTACCTTACTTACTCATAAAAAAAGTAATCTCTTTGAGTAATCATACTACAAATATCGAGCAACATTTGCCCAAACTGCAGATAAATAAAAACAAAACCCTAAAAAAGATTAAAAGATGTTGTTTATATTTGTGTTTTTTTATGTTATTTATATCTGCAAGTTTGCTATATAAGTAACAAAGTAACAAATAAACTTCTCAAATAAAATTACACACACACTCTAAACTAAGATAAATCTGAGAAAATCTAAATGAATCTGCAAAACATTACAATAAATGTATGGCAGCGCTAACTACAAACAAGTTATATAAATGCCTCAATAATAAAATATATTCTAAAATGAACATTAAAGAAGCATTGCTTCGACCTCAGAGGCAAGCAATAATTAGTGATGGTTTGAATTGAAATATAGACCAGATGCAGTTGCAGCTACTAAACATTAAGATGTTCTCTTAGTACTCATATAATGTTTAGTCAGTAAAAATGTGACACAACTTCAATCTCAGTATCAAATATATTTTAATTGCTAGTTTATTCTTTAAATAAAGTATTCTTTTATCAGTAGACTAATAGAATTATAAACTAGAACAAGTCTTTTATTTGTTTGTATCACATTCTTATTTAGTCAGCAGGTATTTTAAAAAATATAAAATTTATCCTTACCTCCTGTAGAGACATGGTATTGGTGATGACAGTGATGTGAAATACCTAGAAAACATTATGAATATTAATAACTGAATTACATTTAACAATTTCATCTTTAAATGAGTCAGTGTGACCGGCGAACCATTGCAACATCATTAATGAAAAGAAGTCAGATTAAAAATGACGATTTTTAATAAAATACTTGTAATTTTCATTAAGATTTCAGAAAGAATACTTTTGTAAGTAATATGCTAAGAACAGTAAATAAACCTTTCAACATAGAAACTTACAAGGTCAAACTATATGAGCGGCTGCGGCTTACCGGCACGGACACCCGTTAGGAACTAAATAAAAACTAACCTCGTCGAGTCGTCGCGTAAAGAACCAGACTGGTACTTTAAAGCGGTGATTAACGCCGGCCGGCGAGTGATTCACGTTTCTGAGTAAAGTTATCAAAAAATATATTCCGAAAAATGCTTTTTAGTTTTTACCGACAAAGTTCAACTTTTTGATTTGACTTGAGACGTGACCGATATTGCCCGTATCATTTTTTTAAATACGGCCAAAATACAGAGTCAGATTTTCTATAATTAAAAATCCGGATGTATAGCGAAACTATAAAACAATTTGATAGTGGAAGCTAGCGACGGCTATACTCCCAAAGCCACCTAGCTTTTTCCTCAATCAAAATTTTGCCATCCCTATAAATCTAGCACGTCCTAAACCCTGGGGCAAACTGGTATATTTTTGCAAAATAGTTAGATTCACTACGCGGGTTTAACCGTGACTTTTTCGTTATTCATTACATCATACATTAATAAAGTCGAGTGCCGACTGGAAATCCGAGGCAGTGGGATATATTTATTAAAATCGGAAGACCTTCTGGAAAGTTAGGATTTATGGCAACATTTGCCAAACGTCACAACTTGTGACGTGTGTGTGACGTCCTCTGAGGAGGCGACGTCTACTGTCTGGTTGACTTTACCTTCATGTTTTTAAAGCTAGTTACGCAAGGCAAGAATATCAATGTTCGAGGTTCCAGTATATAAAAGTACTCTTTCAAGGGTCAAGGCAAACCAATTTTTACTTTTATCACATAATGGTGTCGATTCTGGCATGATTCTCTAAAGATAAATTTAAATTTGACAACAGTGTATCCCTGTCGTTCTCTATACAGAATGAAAAGGACAGAATGATCTTAAATTTAGTTTTAAGTTTAGAGAATCCTGCCAGAATCGACACCAGTATAGTGATAATATGCGAATTTATATACATAATGGTGTCGATTCTGGTAGGATTCTAGAGAATTTAAGAGAAGAAACTTAAAACTAAATTTAACACCAATCTGTACTTTTCATTATACAATAATGAGAAGGATCCAAGGATAGAAATGGTTTACTTAACGCACACGTTGTTTATTAACGAAATACTTATTCCCTTAAAAAAAATATTAAATTTCAATTGGATAAACAGATCTGGGGGCCATTCGCCTAACAGAAATGCTTTGGAAAACGCTAACGCTTACAATTTCATTTTGTTATTTCTAGCCGTCTGAGGTTTTCAAATTCCTCGCGCGAATATTTTTTCTTTTACATTGGTAATAACAATATTAAAAAAAATGAGCGTGAGGTATTTGAAAACCGTCGGCGGTCAGAAATAACAAAATAAAATCGAAAGCGTTAGCGTTTTCCAAAGCATTTCTGTTAGGCGAATGGCCCCCAGTTATTTAATGCACAATCTTTCCTTTGTTTCCATATTATTTTATTGTAAAAAAAACATAAACGTATAAGTTTACTGAAATTGAATTACAAATTAAAATTGCATTGTCTTTAAGCTCCACGACTGCTAAGGGCTACTCTTTCTTCTTAACATACTGTGAAACATACTATAAAATAAAGTTACTTTTCGCGCCTGTCTACATATCCACTTTTCTTCATGGAAGGTCTAGGTATGTCATATGTAGTTGTAAGTGTAATACCTACAAGTCTTGATCAAAAACTGTTATGTAGTCTACACTCTATAGCGGAACGAAAAGAGGATCCTTTAAAAGAGGCGTGAAGAAGCATCATGCAGACCGGCAAGGTGAGGATGGCTGGAGCGGCAGATAGAACTGCTGTACCAGCTATCTTCACGTCTGGACTTCACCATCACTTAACATTAGGTGAGGTGGAGTCATTTGTCGGACCTATCTTTAACCTATATTTAAAAAAACTCAAAGGTGACTGACTGACATAGTGATCTATCAACGCACAGCCCAAACCACTGGACGGATCGGGCTGAAATTGCAGATAGATGTTATGACGTAGGCATCCGCTAAGAAAGGATTTTGATCAATTCTACCCCCAAGGGGATAAAATAGGGAATGAAAGTTTGTATGAAACTTCGTCAATTTAAACCGCTCGGGCTGAGACTTTGCATGCAGGTATAAGAAGAATCATAGATGAATGACATTGTGTATAATACAAGCCTGAGAACACAAACTATAGTTTACACTTCAGCTCTACACCGAAGCGAAGCGAGGGCGAAGGGGATCTGAAAGAGGATTTGCGGATCGAAGAAGAAGTAAACTCCACCTTACCGAATTAAAATGACAATATTTTGTAAGTAGTAATGCTGAATCCCAGGAGTAAGGCTCTCGCAGGAGATGCGGATACAGATGGAGCAGTAGTTAAGGCATTCGGTCTGCGATAGAATGAAATGAGAGTGTTTAGGAAAATTCACTTCTCCAGTTGGTGCCACTGTGACATTAGGTCTTTTGTATGAAGTTTTTGGAGAGAATTAGACCTTTCGTCTCAATTTTGCCAACTGGCGCCCGACATTCCAGAACACCCTCATTATGCAAATTTCACAGTGGTCAGTCATGAGACGAGTAATCAAAAAACTTGATAGAGTCTGTGCGGAGAGAGAATGGAACTAACACAAAGATTTTTATTTGGCAATCAAACCCAGCAATTTGTAAAACGTCAAAGTTTTGTATTGATACAGATTTGGTTGTTGTTGTGATTTCTTGCGGTTTGTTGTGGTTAAACCTTACAAATACGGTAGAAAAGCACTACAGCGCCGGCCAATCTAAATCCCATTCTCTTTCCGCACAGACTCGAATTCCCGAATTCCTCCATGCTTAGCGTTACCATCTAACAGGCTTTCATCGCATTTGACAGGCATTTTTGAATTTCGTGTGTCACAGTAAGGAATAGATCCCACCACCACCGATCTGCGTGGTGTGTCATGGCCCGTGCATCAGAAATCAATATATCTTTATTCAAATTGGATGTATAGTACAACACTTTTGAATCGTCCAAACATTTTTTTCCCCTACCACTCGTTATTGGACATATTTTTTTTAGCTGCGGAGAAAAACGAGCGAAAAAAACTCCACAACATTAAAAGCATAATGTAACAACATTTACAAATCATTATGTTGTTACAACGTCAATACAATCATGATTTATTTAATATAGAAAACCTGTTGGAATAATTGGAACAGTTCAAACCCAAGCATTTTTGTCCGTAATATAATCACTTTGTAATAAGCTTTTTTAATAAGTGTTTTTTTATACTATCTTTGAATTTATTTATCTTGGATATTGCATGGGACTTTATTGTATAAGCAAACACAAAGACCTTTAAATGAATTATTGATTTTGTGAAGCCTAGTAGCAGGTAAAGTTAGTTTATTTTTGTTTCTTGTATTAAGTGTGTGAACATCACTGTTTTTAAGAAACAAATTAATGTTTTTTCTTACAAGTAATAAATTTTCGTAAATGTATTGTGATGCGACCGTCATTATACCAAATTCTTTAAACCTATCTCTTAAGGAATCCTTAACTTTAAGATTATAAATTGATCGAATAGCTCTCTTCTGCAGCACAAAAATAGTTTGAATGTCGGCGGCGTTTCCCCACAATAAAATTCCGTACGACATTACACTATGGAAATAACTAAAGTACACTAATCTGGCCGTATCTACATCCGTTAACTAGCGTATCTTAATTACGGCATATGCTGCAGAGCTCAGTCTATTTGACAATTTATCAATATGTGGGCCCCATTGAAGCTTAGAATCTAAAGTAATCCCTAAGAATACTGTGGTGTCTACAAGGCCCATATTCCTATCCTTTACATTCACACTGGTTTTTACCTGTTTTACATTAGGTAATACAAATTTCATACATTTCGTTTTTCCTTCATTTAGTAATAAATTATTAACATTAAACCAGTGAACTACCTTAGAGATACAATTGTTCACGTCGTCAATAACTGTTTCCTTGCGTTTGAGTTTAAATAAAAGTGATGTTTCATCCGCGAACAATACTATCTCATGCTTATCCTTAACATAGTAAGGCAAGTCATTAATATAAATTAAAAATAAGAAAGTACCAAGGATTGAGCCCTGCGGAACACCCATTTTAACCGGCGAACCCGCAGACTTATTGCCATTAATGTCAACCCTCTGAATCCTATCCATCAGGTATGACGCAATAAGATCCAGGTCAGTATCTCTAAATCCATAGTGGTGGAGTTTCCTGAGTAATGTTTCATGAAAAACGCAATCAAAAGCCTTGGACAAGTCGCAAAACACACTTAGAGCGTCCTGCGAGTTCTCCCAGGCGTCAAAAATTTGTTGTATAAGTTCAACACCATCGGTTGTTGAACGACCCCGTGTAAAACCAATCCTATTCCATCTATAAGGAAGCCCTGTGTCAGAGTTGTGGGGACATTAATAAGCCGATGATGAGGAACGTCCAACGGAGCTCAAATCTCTCCTTACCTTTGTTGGTATTGTGTTTAATAAAGTTTTAATTCTGTGGGTGAATAAAGTTCCGGGGCTCCTCGGGGTAAGAGATAAGTTCAAGTCTGTCAGGTCGGGATGGCTGGGGCGGCACATTCGTCTGCCTCATCAAATATCTTTACAACTAGACACTTAACATTTATCAACATGTAGAAGGGTAATTTGGTACTTCTCGCATTTAAATAAATAAATCAATTTTCGTACCGGAATACTTGAAAGAGAAAAATAATTCAACACCGTATATAAGACATTGGTGTCGATTCTGGCAGGATTCTCTAAACTTAAAACTAAATTAAACATCAGTCTGTTCTTTTATTCCGTATGGAGAATGACAAGGATACACTGTTGTCAAATTTAAGTTTAGCTTTAGAGAATCATGCCAGAATTGACACTATTATAATTTAATTTTTGAAATGTTAACCTTTTAAAATTAATTGATTATAAATAACGTAACAATAAGTATTATATCCTAATGATCTTAAGCGTATTTGCCCTGCAGTTGTCCAGCCAGTTCGATGTACTGTTTTTTGGCATCATCTTGGGAGATTCCCTTGCGGTCGGTCCAAGCCTTGAATTTGGCCTTCTCCACTAGACCGCTAGGTTCAGCTGCAAAAAATATAATAGTTAAAATATAACACCCTAAAAAAAGCTATCATTACCTTAATAAAAGTAAAGCCCAAACTAGATCGCCAGTGTGAATGAAATGAGATCTCTCGATTCACATACGAGCAGTGGCGTCACGTGGGTTACAATTGCCCGGAATTCGGGAAACCAAACACAGTAAGCACGCGAAAACAAAACTCAATTATATAAGGATAAAGCACGATTCATAGATAGTAACGGCTGTGAAGTTGGCGCAAGTCGCGGCACGCAAATCTAGCGCTGAACAAAACGCGTAGGAGATAGCATGGGTACGACTGGAAAGCCAGTCAGCGCAATGCACGCTCACCCGCGCACCTCGTTTTCCCCTAAGGTATCTTAATTGAAGATGCCACTGAACTGAAACCTCCAAAGAATTTCGCTGACTGATAACTTCACAACCGCCATAAAGTTTGAATCGCACTATAATAAACGGGTAGTTAGTACATACCGATGTTAACGTCGCCAATGGTTGCCTGCTTGTAGAGGGAGTAGAGGGCCAGGTTCTCGCTGTCAGCTGGGGTGGTCTTCCAGTTCCTGACTGAACCGGCGACTTTCTGGAAATCCTGCAGTCAATACAAAAATAAATATTTAAAGTTCTGCCTAAAAGTGATAACAATAGTTTTAAAAAGTCTAGTGTAAACCTTGGTAGAGTATATGTATCACAGAAATAAGTCCAGGGTAAACCTTGACGCTCAATTATATGTTTGTTCATCATAATTAAACTGTAATTTCTAATAAATTTTATGCCAATGCCATGTTACTCGTCCATTTGGTCTGTTTAACATTATAAGCAAAGATTTGACTTGAATTTAAGTATTTAATTATTGCACGCCTCACAACGCGTAAGTGTGTGGGAGTGCTTTACTCTTGATAGGCCGCTATGTGACGATTTTACAATATAAATTCGCTCTTATCTATAAAAAAAGGGTGTTTTGAAAACTAGACATATTAAATTATAATAAGTTAGCGTAATTTTTCATAATTTTTTTTGGTTTAAATAATAAAAAAATGTAGTTAAAAAAATATTAGTACTGCTGCTGTCCGTAGGTCTGTGCACTTGTTTGTCTGCACGTTTTAGAAAAAAATACGCAATTAATTGTAATAAATCCTTTTAAATTAATTTCCACTTATACTGAGGATGAACTCTATTTCTTATCATGATTGAACTTCATTAATATCTTTAAAACGGTTATTTTAAAGTTATTAATGAAATTCAATGGAATTTATTTACTGGGTTTCTGTTTCGTGAATGTGAGGCGTGCACTTTTGTTTTTTTTTATATGAGCAATTTTGGTTAAATACACACATCAAAAGTGTCTAGGGATCAAGCATTTTTATGCGGATTTCTTGAGATTGAGATGTGGCTTTGTAATAAATTTATGATTTTATAAATTTATATGGATCCTTTTTGGTGCATTTCATAATTTGAATCAGGAACTGTGAATCAAATTCGAGTAAAAGATGAAAATCAGCTGTCAATATTTTCCCTATAAAAACATACAACGCATTGAAGACATTATTAGTGCTACTGTTTCCCTACTACTGATTAAAACCAACGTTATTATGGAGCGGCGACGTCATTTAAGCAGGGAAGAAATGCTCAGAGCCGTGGGAATGATAGAAGCTGGTTCCCGGCAACGTACTGTGGCTTTAGCTCTGAATACAAGTCAGAGTGTTATCAGTCGACTTTGGACACGATACCGAAGCACTGGTACCGTGGCTGAGCGCCATGGAGGACGGTATCGCTGCACCACACGGAGACAAGACCGATACATTCAAATCTTAACTCGAAGAGCTCCAACAATAACCGCCATGATGTTAGCCGTGAGGCTTCATCACTCTTCAGGGAACTTAATTAGCGACCAAACAGTCAGAAACCGCTTGCATGAAGTGAACCTTCATTCCCGAAGACCGCTACGGGTACCACCTATAGCAATGCACAATCGTAGGATTCGATATCAATGGGCTCTTGAACACAGAAATTGGGCAGAAGAACAATGGCGTTTCGTGTGCTTTTCTGATGAGTCTCGTTTTGGTATGAGACCGGATACAAGACGTATACGACACTGGAGAACCCCTGGACGCCAACAGCGATTAAAATCCTGCCAGGAAGTCCATCCTTATAGTGGTGGAACCATCATGGTATGGGCGGGTATTTGGATCGGCGGAAGAACTGAGTTGATTTGGATCAGAGGCAACCTCAACGCTCAAATTTATGCTGAGACGATTGTATCAGACGTCATCGTTCCTCTACAAGTGCAAATCGGTCCCTTATTTCAGTTAATGCATGATAATGCACGACCGCACACCGCAAGAGTTGTAAGACAGACTCTCGCCGCAGCTAACATCAATGTCCTGCCCTGGCCTGCTCAGTCGCCAGACTTGAACCCGATTGAGCATGCATGGGATATGCTACAGAGAAGAGCTCTGCCGAATATGGAGGGTATCCAGTCGCAAGAAGACCTTTTTTTGTTGTTGCAACGAACATGGGCGGCCATTCCACAGCGTGATTTGGATGAACTGATTTTGAGTATGCCAAACCGATGTTCTTGTGTTGTTAGTGTTCGCGGTAGAAATACGGATTATTAATTGTTTAAGTTACCCAATAAAATTTTAGAGAAAACTGTTATTTCAGTCTTTTTTTCGAACTTTTGTGTTAGTGGTTCAAATGTCAAAAATTCCTTTATTAGGAAAATGGCAAATTTCTTTATTAATGCAAAGGTGACTTGGTTTATCGTAACTGTGACAAACGAAAACACTTTATTTGATGAATCCTTAAAGAAAATTTTAATTAATATCAATCAGGAGAAAAGTTATTGCAAAAATATATGTTGATCCCTAGACACTTTTGATGTGTGTAGTAAAAGTATCAGTAATATTTATATTCAGCAAGTAAGTACTAGCATATATTCAATATTGTAAAATCGGTTCTCTTCCAAATAATATGAAATATATAAAAACCGTTACATTCAAAAGTTTTCTTGTAAGTCTTAGTATTATGGTGAGGTTTTTGCTTGTAAGTAGGTAACCAACAAACTCTTAAGGTGCTGTCCCACGATCTGTGTTGTCGCGGGCGAGGCCGCACCTCGCGGCGCAGGCAGTGTTTCCACACATATGAGAACTCTTACGCTAGAGATTTAACAGTATCTTTACATGATACGAGGTAAATAGATATCTCTATTTATATCGTACACTTTGATATGAGATTTTAACAATGTTGACTGTTTGTGTCAAGTACACTAAGCAAAAATATTATCAAAAAGTATATAATGTCCAGTCCACAAACGATTGTCTCAGTAATTACAGATTTATTATGCCATCACTAAATGCATCCATTCGTATCATCGTATCATCACCTCTTAAGATGTGTAGATACTGCTAAATCTTGAATGTTAGTTTCCGTTTGTGGCTGTGGCGTGTGGTCCGTGTGCGGTTCTCATACGTTTGGCAACGTTGCGCAGCGCGGCCTCGCCCGCGATAACACAGATAGTGGGATAGCGCCTTTAATGCGCTCCAAAAGAAGCGTTGGAAGGATAATAATAATACCGTTTCATGATAAAGAGAGAGCTATGCACAGTAAAGAATATACCGTCATCTTGCTTTAACCGTGGCTTTTGGTCCGTAGTTCTTGGTAACGTACGGTACTCGAGATGCTGTCTTAAATCAAATGATGTGGAAACGGCAAGATTTGTTTACTTTAGCTTTTTTCGTAGTCTTTTATTGTGGGGAGCAGCTGCTAATATCAGAAACAATACTAATATTATGAAGCTGAAGAGTTTAATGAAATAACGATGCTACTTAGTTGTGTAAAACCGAAATGATTTATTTCCAGTAAGTTGTGAGCCCTGTTTGTTTGGTTGATCGCGCTAATCCCAGGAAATACTGATTCATATTGAAAAAATATTTTTGTGATAAATAGCCCATTTATCGAGGTATTTATGATAAGACTAATAGGAGCGAAGCATCAATGGAAAATGTTACGAAAACGGGAAAAAAATATTTCTTTTCAGAGCTTTCGTTGTGAGCGCTGCGTAAACGGTAAAAGATACACAAGAATAATGTATGAAGAAATTGTTGTCCTTTAAAAGTTCTAAATAAAGACCGCGACAGCATAGGTCTATCTTTTAAGGTTGACTCACCATAACCTTTTTTTGGTAATCAAAGTTGTTCTATGATAATGCATTATTTGCGCAGGTGTTTTAGTAAACATGATAATTATTCCTCATCAATATTAACACTTTATCCATTAAAGTATTTTGATCAAAATTGTTCTTATAATTTTATTTTTTTTAAGGCATGTAACTGTTTGATGTTTAAATCTAAAGAAAATATAACTAGAAAAAATTCCACGCGGACCAGGCAGCAGACGGGACTCGAACCCGCACCCCCACCCATACGGGCGAATGTACTGACCAATTATGCTACCGCGGCCCACACGGACCGCGTCGAAATTCCTCTAGCCATTCTTAAGCTGCAAGGCAGCGCCATCTCTTCGCATTATAGGTAAAATTGTTCTTCAGAACTTCAAAACTTCAGTCGATTTCAATGAATATCTTAATAGATATCATATTTTTAAAATAACTCCGCATCAGGGCCGGAGTTGAAGCCCCCAAATCAAGGCCGAGCCACATACAATTTGCCTGCCCTGCCTTAAATAATGATGAAGTGCCACGCACACATTTATGTTGTCGAAGATGGACGGGTGCGAGCGGGGCAAACGTGAAAAACGCGAGGGGGTGGGTGCGAGTGGGACAAACGTTAAAAACGAGAGGGGGTGGGCGCTAGCCGGCCGCCGGAAACTTTGTATGTTTGTAACTCAATCACGCAAAAACTACTGAATAGCTTTAGATGAAATTTGGTGCACATTGAGGCATAGTATACTTTTATCCTGGATAAGTGACAGGTTCTTGAGGAATTTTCAAAAAATTAAAGTTGACGCGGATGACGGCGCGGGCTACCGCTAATATTTTATACTAGTGACCCGCCCTCGCTTCGCTTCGGTGTTGAGCTGTAGTGTAGACTAAAATGATTCTTCATGTAAAAAAAAAAAAACTGAAAATCGTATCAAATACACACATCAAAAGTGTCTAGGGATCAAGCATTTTTATGCGGATTTCTTGAAATTGAGATGTGGCTTTGTAATAAATTTATGATTTTATAAATTTATATGGATCCTTTTTGGTGCATTTCATAATTTGAATCAGGAACTGTGAATCAAATTCGAGTAAAAGATGAAAATCAGCTGTCAATATTTTCCCTATAAAAACATACAACGCATTGAAGACATTATTAGTGCTACTGTTTCCCTACTACTGATTAAAACCAACGTTATTATGGAGCGGCGACGTCATTTAAGCAGGGAAGAAATGCTCAGAGCCGTGGGAATGATAGAAGCTGGTTCCCGGCAACGTACTGTGGCTTTAGCTCTGAATACAAGTCAGAGTGTTATCAGTCGACTTTGGACACGATACCGAAGCACTGGTACCGTGGCTGAGCGCCATGGAGGACGGTATCGCTGCACCACACGGAGACAAGACCGATACATTCAAATCTTAACTCGAAGAGCTCCAACAATAACCGCCATGATGTTAGCCGTGAGGCTTCATCACTCTTCAGGGAACTTAATTAGCGACCAAACAGTCAGAAACCGCTTGCATGAAGTGAACCTTCATTCCCGAAGACCGCTACGGGTACCACCTATAGCAATGCACAATCGTAGGATTCGATATCAATGGGCTCTTGAACACAGAAATTGGGCAGAAGAACAATGGCGTTTCGTGTGCTTTTCTGATGAGTCTCGTTTTGGTATGAGACCGGATACAAGACGTATACGACACTGGAGAACCCCTGGACGCCAACAGCGATTAAAATCCTGCCAGGAAGTCCATCCTTATAGTGGTGGAACCATCATGGTATGGGCGGGTATTTGGATCGGCGGAAGAACTGAGTTGATTTGGATCAGAGGCAACCTCAACGCTCAAATTTATGCTGAGACGATTGTATCAGACGTCATCGTTCCTCTACAAGTGCAAATCGGTCCCTTATTTCAGTTAATGCATGATAATGCACGACCGCACACCGCAAGAGTTGTAAGACAGACTCTCGCCGCAGCTAACATCAATGTCCTGCCCTGGCCTGCTCAGTCGCCAGACTTGAACCCGATTGAGCATGCATGGGATATGCTACAGAGAAGAGCTCTGCCGAATATGGAGGGTATCCAGTCGCAAGAAGACCTTTTTTTGTTGTTGCAACGAACATGGGCGGCCATTCCACAGCGTGATTTGGATGAACTCATTTTGAGTATGCCAAACCGATGTTCTTGTGTTGTTAGTGTTCGCGGTAGAAATACGGATTATTAATTGTTTAAGTTACCCAATAAAATTTTAGAGAAAACTGTTATTTCAGTCTTTTTTACGAACTTTTGTGTTAGTGGTTCAAATGTCAAAAATCCCTTTATTAGGAAAATGGCAAATTTCTTTATTAATGCAAAGGTGACTTGGTTTATCGTTACTGTGACAAACGAAAACACTTTATTTGATGAATCCTTAAAGAAAATTTTAATTAATATCAATCAGGAGAAAAGTTATTGCAAAAATATATGTTGATCCCTAGACACTTTTGATGTGTGTATAATCAGAATGCTCCGATCTGCTAAGCTATCAGGAGTAACACGTGTTATTGTGAGTCAACCATAAAAGACATATGCTGTTGTGGTATATTTTTTAGACAATTTTATGTAGAATATTTCCGTCATACATGATTTCTATGTAACTTTAACCATTAAGGCTGCACACGCGACGGAAGCCTAAAAAATGGAGTAACTTCTCCCGTTTTCCCAACATTTCCCTTCACTGCTCTGCTCCTATTGATTGTAGCGTGATCAAAAATATACTTTAACCTGCCCAGGAGTATGAAGATTTGTACCAAGTTTCGTTAAAATCCGTCGAGTAGTTTTTGTTTCTATAAGGAACATACATACAGACAGATAGACAGACTGACAAAAATTTTACTGATTGCATTTTTGGCATCAGTATCGATCACTAATCACGCCCTGATAGTCATTTTCAAAATATATTTCATGTACAGTAATTGACATCTCTACAGTTTTATTATATCCTCCTGAGACCCCCGGTATCACCAGTGATACCTTTACTTTGAATTTTTTTTTAACGCCGACTTTCGAAATACTCAATTAGATCAAAGTTTAACAGTGAGTGTAGGGTTTTGTTTATTGTTTCCAATACCGGTCATTCGCTAGGTGTTAAAATTAAAATTATTTGCGGTCAGTGCAAGATTGAAAATTGTGCATGAATCGACATGGCGAAATCACTTAAAGGTAAATATTAGTTTTTATTCAAATCTTTGTGTTTTTTTGTTTAAATATTGTAAAATATATTGTAAATTTACCATTAGTGAAAATATTTTGTAGAAAAGTGTAATTATTTTGTATAAATTTTGAGTTTTACTGCAAGTATCATAGGTGATACCTTGGGCAATCAGTACTATTTTTGGAATATTTTTATAGATCTGCTGTCTGATTGAGAAATAAAGCAGATGATCAATTTCTACGAGTCAGATATAGAAAAAGAAGACAGTGATTAAGAAATAGACCTTGAAGAATGGCGAGAGATATCCAACCAGGAAATTTCACTCGCAAATGAAGAGGAATGGAATGATTCGGAAGACGAACCTCTTTCATTTTTACGCACACTTCCTCAATCCTTTAGGAACCTGAGTTTAAGATGGAAAAACACGGAAAACTTTGATTTTATTCCATACGAGGAATTGGACATATCATTCCACCCTACTAACATCATTGTCAAGAGTTCTCTAGATTACTTTTCTCGTTACATAGAATAACCGTTTGTTTGAAATTATGGCCAATTGTACAAATGTTTGTAGTGTATCAAGAACGGGCAAAGCTCTGAATACAACGCCTGAGGAACGTAGACAGTTCTTCGGATGTTCAATGTCCATGAGTATGCTTGGTTTGCCATGAATAAGAATGTATTGGGCCTAAGAAATCAAATTCTACTACATAGCTAACACAAATACTCGTAATCGATATTTTCAACTAAGATCGAATTTAAAGCTTGTAAATGATGGATTAGTTTTACAATATACCAGACAAAACGACAAGTATTGGAAAAAACGTCCTATTGTATCTGTAATAGAAAAGGGTTGGCGTGAAAATAAATGAGATACTTGTGTTGCCATTGATGAGCAAAGAATCCCCTTCACAGGTTAATGTAAACAAAAACAGAACTCAGAAGGCATAAAAGTGTTTCTCATGGCATATTCCAATGGTATACCACTTGATTTATACTTATATCAGGACAAGGGTACAACTATAGAATCGGCACTGTATCCAACACCTGAAAAACTTGATCTTGGAGAACGTATTGCGCTCAAACTTGTGGATACTTTACCTCCAGGTTCTTCAATTTTTATAGATCTTTACTTAACATCTATTTCACTTTTTGCAATCTATTGGAAAGAAATATAAAGGCAACAGGAACATAAATGAAAAACCGAGTGCCTGAATATCAACAGCCCAATACAAAGAAAAAAATAAGCGAATGTTCAAGTCTGATGCTATGTTACAAAAAGCTGGAAGAGGCAATTTCGATTGCGTTGTAAGAGGTTACAGTAAGATAGCTGTAGTAAAGTGATTAGACAATAAACCAATTTTTGTTATATTAACTGATGCAGCTCATTTAGAATCTCTCTGTCGTTTTTCAATGTGAATTCAAATTAAAAATTTTAGAGGAACAATCTTGTTTTAAGCTGATGCAATCCCAAGGTATCAATCGTGATACCATCCCTTACGTTAATTAGGGAGGGGGTGGATTTTTTTTTCTTGTATTGTAATAACAACCAGCGACACCTTGCTTTAAAAAGTAGCAATTGTAAAATGTGGGTTGAATACTTCAGTCTTGGGTCTCAGGAGGATAAGTATAGATTACAAAAGAGAGTTATCTGCGCTTTATACAATTTAGGATTTTAGACCCACAAAAACCGCTTATAGAAAATGTAAAGTGTTTTAGGATATTAATATCTTAACTCTCGTATCTCAAATATATCTATGAAAGTCGGTCTTTGTTGAAGGATCTTCTACGAAGTTTGTTGTTCTTAATGGACTTTGGAATGACATGGCATTTTTTGTTATATTCTTACGACATTCTTTAAGAAAAGTTAAATATTTTAAGATTAGCATTGTTATTGACAAATAAATAGAACTTACCTGATCGAGAGACATTTTGGTTTCTAGAAATGAGATCTGTAAGAAAAATAAAGATATAATTAGATTTCTATCGTTTCTTCACTTGTCCCTAAAAAAATCTCTCTCTCTTTATCGCAATAGGACATTCTTTCCTAAAGTCTTTATCACTCACTATCAATCAGCCACTAAAAAATGAAATCATTCACTGTAATAGTCAAGCAGCTACTTCCAAACTTTCAAAATTTTGTTTATCATTTAACTATATTATTTTACCACTTAAATTATGTTAAATAAATAATTTAATACCTTTGTTTTATATTAAGCAAACGAAGTTTATATCACCGTTTTTATTGCGGAGAAGAATAAGAATTTTCGAATGTCGAAAAGTATTTTATAGTTTTTTATAAGATACCTTAGCACCTTTATCGATGTTATCTATCTATTATTTTATCACTATGATATGCGCGACACACGGCCATTTTATGAGAAAATAATGACATTTTAATCATAGGTATAATTACCTAAGTACTTAGATTTATACCGTTTAATTTATTGTTTACTTTTATATCCCGGATTAAAACTAATCCTACACGAATCAAGAACACAATTTTCATCGCAGTTTTTGACATGACGGGTGTGGCACGCATGGAAGTAGGTATTCACAGATAGACGAGAGTACCTACTGTTATTCTGACCACCAATCCGATACTAAAAAGTAACTTTGCTATATGTAGGGTGCAATTGTAAGAGCGTGCCTCAGTTCCTTCGCAGCTTCGTTGCCCCGTAGCATCTAAATCCGGCCCAGCCCCTGTAGCATGACCACCGAAACGGGATATGATAAAACGATATATCGGCATTAACTGTCAGACTACAGTGGAGTTTGACAGTATTATATCGCTTTATCATATTATCCCGTTTCGGTGGTCATGCTAGAGGTGCATGGTATCTCTGATCTTAGGTATTCTACGTGAGAAGTTATGGAATACTGTAAATAAGGTAATTATAACGTACCTATTCATATCGAACAGTATTAAAATAATTATCTACAAGAGTATGCAATGGCTTGGCCTAAGGAAGTCAAGGCACTTGACACAGACCTTCACGGATGCGGTGTGATTAACATGTTATCAAACAAATCCACGATTGTCAAATAACGAAGACCGCTAATTTAAACACAAGAAGGTATTACAACTTGTGACCAAAACTACATAATGCCGTCATCGAAGTTGTGCTCTGGCAGTTAAGTTTAAGATTATCTTGACGAAACCGGCTTTAAATTCAAAAGTCAAAGTTCGGAACGAGGAACCTACAGATTTATAAATTACTTGTTTGAATTTTCCGATGCGTAGGAAAATATAAATGTAAATGTATATAACACTTTTTATTTCAAGAAGGATCATCTCTAGCAAGTTACCAGTATTTTTTTTAAATGCCAAGGCCAGGCCAAGAATGACCTATAAATAAGCTGTCTTTAAAAAAACAATAAAAACTGAAGAAATAAAATAACATATTACCTTTAGGTACGTTATTTATTTTTTAAGCATTTAACTGCTAGATGTTAAAATCTAAATAAATTTTACTAGAAAAATTCAACGTGGACCAGGCAGCAGACGGGACTCGAATTCGCACCCTTCGCTATCCGGGCGAATGCACTGATCATTAAGCTACCGCGGCCCTGAGCCGTCTGCTGCCTGGTCCGCGTTGAGTTTTTTCAAGTAAAATTTTCTTTAGATTTATACATATTACCTACTTATTTTAATCATAAACTTTTCTTTAAATATGAACCAAAAGTATAATTTTTTTCAAAGTGATGTGATTTAAAAAAAATATAGCTTAACAAAAGTCACAAACCCGCAAAAAAATGTAAATCTTTATGCATTAACTTAATAAATTACTTACCAAGTTGCGGAGATAGAAATTGGAGAAGCACGCAGTCGACACTGAGCGATTTAGGTCCCGCTCCCATGTTAAATTTCTCAGGTCCTAAAGTAACTTTTAGGTATTCATACAGGGCTGTCACATCACAATCACATAACCACAGAACAAAAAGTAATTGATTTAATTATTAAAGTGAAAATTTTCCTCATGCTACCTAACATAATTTTGAGAGATCCTAAAATTGAAACTGGTTATTTTCCATCATCAGTCTATCAATGGACTTACAGATGAATGTCAAAAGTTAGTTGGACTCAAATGGTAACAAATGATGAAATCCTGCGACGTGTTGGCAAGAAACGCGAACTTTGGGATACCATCAGAGTAATGGAAGCCATACACATTAGGTTTTGCATGATGGTTTTAGGCGTACGTGCATAACCGACAGGCAAGCCCTAGCGTGTAGGTGATAAAACTGTATAGTTATCGGTGTATGTACATGCAACCGAGCAAATATCAAAATTGATATTTTATGCCGCTCGGTTATGTTTGCGCGCGAGCATAACCGAGCGTGTGTGGCGTCCGGCGAGCTTGCCTGTCACAGTTCTCAATTTTTCATTGTTGCGACGGCGGAAGGTTGCAAGCGCAATGCCACATTAGAAGAATTCTTAGAAATTAATAAGTCGGAACCTTGTATTTGGCGCGTAAAATGCAAAGAATATAACGACATAGAAAAACGATAGACCAGAAAACTAGAAAAACCAGAGATTGATAACTAAGAAAAAGAATCAAAGAATTAGAGCCCACTGCACAAGAAGATGTGATTTAAAAAAAACCTTTCATATTACTTAATAGGCGTCCTACACATACCGTCACGTAGCTCAACTGAGAGTAATGGCAAAACTTTGCATGCAAACCCTAACGTGTATGTGCAATATGAAACTCGGTTATGCATGTCGGTTATGCATGCACGGTTAAAACCATCATGCAAAACCTAATGTGTATGGCCTCCATTAGGAAGGTTGCATATCTAGGGCACGTGATGAGACACGAAAGGTACGCCCTTTTACAATTAATAATGATGGGCAAAGTTGCTGGAAAACGAGGCGTCGGTCGCAGGAAGAAGTCTTGGTTGAGGAACCTACGAGAATGGACTGGAATCTCGAGCGCCGCTGAATTATTCCATCTCGCTAAGGATAAGGAGACGTATGCTAAGCTGACTGCCAACCTTCGCTGTTCGGAGAGGCACTAGAAGAAGAAGAAGTCTATCAATGTCCCCATTGCTGGGGTACAGGCTATGCAGGAATAGAAAGTTAGAAAGATTGGGCTTTGACGCACCACACGGGCGCGGGTTGGTGAGTGCTATCGATGCAGATTCAGCCGAGACTTTATACCATCCGTAACTCGGAGGATCTTGAGAAAATTAAATTGTTGGTCGCCCATCCGATGACCGGTCATTGTGAAAGTTGCTTAACTTTCACGATCACAGACCGAACTCACTAACCTTTTGCGTCATCAAGCACATATCTGGTAATTATGAGCGATAGTTCATTACATTATTCTTGAAGTGCCATATAACACGTAGCACATTTTGACAAAAAGAATATGGAACGATGAAAGATGTCCGTCGTTACGGTGAGTGGGCTAGATCTACTAATTGTTCGCGGCATATTATTCTAAGATGGAATCAGAAGAACTCTGAAGACATTTTTAATATCATTGAATTCGGAAACTGTTCATGAAAAATCTGACATCGGTGTAGCAGTTGCTTCTTCTGAAATAATGGTCATATTGTTAGAAAAAAAAAGTAGATTATACAGATTAAAGTATTTAGGGGGCAAAATGATTTTACTGTCTAAAGATTTTCGCCAAACAGTGACAGTTATTCCAAGATCGACTACTGCCTATGAAATAAGGCTTGCCTATATAAACCAATTTGTAGCGCCATGTAATAAATTTTCAGCTGGCAGTAAGTAAATATGAAATTAATTACTGAACGATCAAACTACAAAAGATTCCTCCAAACAATTTCTGAAATGGTAAAATCTGTGTTCCTGTTGAAAAGATAGCTTTCATTTCTTCCAGGTTATTGTAAGCGGTACGAAGTTCGCTGGGTCAGCAAGTAGATAATATTAAAATCGATAATAAGATCGGTAGTTTTTTATGTCCAAGTCATAATTTAAGATTCAATTAAACTTTGAAAATGTAAAAAGAAATTTTTATAACGTTACTAAAAAGAAAAGTCTTAAAAAATTACATAAACATTTTTCAATGTTAATTTTGAAGGCAACCCTGAGCCCTAATCCGAAAAACCATTGATATGATTATGGAGTGCAATAAATTTTGTTGTCTTATCAAGGTTTGAGTACACTTGCGATAGGGTATCGGACTTCTTCATGTAAGTTTCACATTACAAAATAGAATATCAGTTAATATCTTTACCTAACACCCTACCACCCATAGCCTCAAAGAGACGACGGCCGGCATCCATTTTTGGTTTTTTGGATCGCGTTAGAAGTTGACGGTCTCGAAACCTATTGTCTCACTTTAACTCTCTTCGCCAGGACCAGGTTAAGAGGTGTGTATCGGGGTGGGTCCGTTCGCGGACAAACACCTGGCGGGTGCGCGGCCATTAGGAAACGGGAGCCGCGGCCACACCCGCCCTCTCGGCATGCACTAGGGGGACCGCGGTCCTCATAGTGCGTGTCGGGTGACGGTGCAGGAGTATTGTCTGGTTTTTAGTGGCCCTGTTCAGGGCGTTAGGTAGGGCCCTGGTTATTTCACCCGACCACAGAGCTGGGTGAAATGAACAGGAAGGAGTCCCACATACCTTCTTCTCGTTCCCCCAGTGGTTGAAGGATGCGTAAAGCATTTCCCAAACTAAAAAAAAAAAAAAAAGTTAAGAGGTGTGAAGGACCTGGAGCATGTGGGGCAACGAAGAAATAGAGATCAATTAAAGCTAAAGAAAAGTGTCAATGTGACATATTTTTTAACCACTCACACCAATAAGCCTAGCCTCAAAGTAAGCACTGTAAGGCTTGTGCTATAGGATACTATGGTAACGGATAGATAACGGAGTAATATTCATATAGAAATACATATTAAACATCCATGACTGGAGTACTTACTAATTCTCGTATTCATCACACAAACATCTGCCTCCATCGTGATTCGGACCCGTGTCCTCTCGAGTAGGTGAACACCTTGAATTCCGGTGTACAAACCACTCGGTCACGGAGGTCGTCTCGGAGGGACATGCCTTCCCTATGGATGGAATGGGAATAATGAGCCTGGCATGACCAACTACGACGCCCTATACGAATTGGTGGGTGCTAATAACTGCAGAACCAGCCGGGACCAAAGCTAGAGATAATGAATTTTTGATCCAACCATTTTATGCAAACACGTATGTTTGTTGCTTAATCCTTTACGAGAGCAAGGGTGAGGCACTTGCTGTCAGCCTTAATATCGCTTAGGCATTTGATCGGATCTGGCACAGGGCACTTCTGTCGAAGCTTCCATCATATCACCGCTGGATTATACAAATAGATTTCCAGCTTTACATCAGAACGCACTATACGAGTTGGAGTTGACGGCGTCTCTTCTGACACTGAATCCATAATATAAACTGAAAAATACAAGGATCAGTTCTATCGTTTACGCTGTTCATTTTGCATATTAATGGTCTATTGTTAACAGGACAGAATATTGATATAGCATTACACCCATTGGACACTAGGCGTTCTAGCACCATGCGTTCCTTTTTCTTGCGTACCATAAAGATCTGGGACGAACTATGATATGACGGTTTTTTAAAGCCATGAACGCATAAGTGGTATCCTTGGTGCTGCAAGTGCCCATGGGCGGCATTGAGCACCAAGGGCGGATCCAGGGGGGGTGTCATGGGGGTCATGACCCCCCCCCCCCCCCTGGGCTGGGTCCATCTGTACCCACTTTACAATCTGTACTTCACAATCTGTACCCACTGTGACTTGACCACGACTATATGACCCCCCCCTGGCACCAAAGCTGGATCCGCCCTTGTTGAGCACATACCATCAAGTGGATCGCCAGCTCGTTTGCCTGCATAAACTTAAAAAATCTATCTACATCCTATTCATATCGAATAGGATGTAGATAGATGAAGTAATTTCAGCGGATTTATGCCTATACTTTAAAATTGATTGAACTCAAGTGTTTATCACCAATTCGGATACAAGTTTTTGCAAGAAAAATAATCGTTCATTTTATTAGACCGACTAACCATCAGATTAAAAAAGAAACCAAAATTAAATATGTTTATTCTCTTTAACTTAACCTATTATTATCTAGTAACATTGTTGGTGCACTCTTCCATCACCGTTACAAGATGAAGCTAAAAGAAGAATTTACACCAAACTAAAACTATAGTTATAGGGAGGGTGAGTTTGTGTGTGTGTGTGTGTGTGTGCATGTGGTGTGTACATGAATGAGCAGAATGTATGTCACTGTGTAAATGTTTCCATGCCGTAGAGAGTGGTTCTATATGTAGTAGAAAATTAGTATAGGAATAAACCAATAATAATATTTTTATTTATATTTTAATTTTCATTAAATATTACTATGTTATAGTTTCGAGTATACCCTCTATTTCCGTATAATTTACAGTTTCGAGCCATTCAATGAGTATCTTCTTGCAGTCATAACGAGTCATAACGAGTCATTGGATAAATATTAAGTTCTTTATTTACCATATTGTACAGAATAGAATTTTGTCTACAATATTGTCTTCTAGCGAAACTATATTTTGTCGGTTTTATAGGTATAACAGCATATTTTCTTCTTTTCTTGAGTACTTACTTATATTGGGATTTTAGGATTTCATAATTCTATAAGTAATCTAAGTATCTTTTTCATAAGCTTGATAAAATTTTCGTTTTATATAATTCATCAAGTTATCAGATTGATAACAGCTAAGGCTTTTATTTATTTTTTATTGTGGTATCTTTAAAGCATCGGCAATGGTGCCAATTCTGGCGTGATTCTCTAAACTTAAAACTAAATTTAACATCAGTCTCTCCTTTTCATTCTGTATAGAGAATGACAAGGATATACTGCTGTCAAATTTAAGTTTAGGTTTAGAGAATTATGCTAGAATCGACACCAATGCATTGTAATTTTCTTGTAGTTACCACCATAATAATTGATAGCGAAGCGTTGATGGCCAGCGGACAGCACACGGTAGCCAATTTTAATGAAACCGAAAAAGTGAAACGTTGGAAAATAAAATTGGCAAATAAAATTCAAAATTTATTTGCTAATCAAGTGTACAAATGATCTTAAAACTAATAATGAACTAACAACAAAATGTTATTATTGTTTTAGAACACTGCAAATTTAAAGATTTAGAGGACAGACGTATTTA